GCACATGCTGGCAACCCCAGATCTTCAGGGCTTGCTGGCCAGCCAGGCTGGGGGTAGGGGGACCCGTGAGCTCCAGATTCAGTTGAGAGAACTTGACTCAGAAACTAAGGTTGAGAACAATGGAGGAAGATACCCAGTCAAGCTCTGGCCCCCACATATGCATGGAGAGGTGCACGCACGCACACATATACTAGAGAGATGTTTGCTAGCCTCTCTCCTCTGTTTTTAGGGTTCTTAAAGGACTTGTGGAGATGTAGTCTCACTGTAACCTTCAGTTTCCTCTCAGGACTCGGGAATATGATTTTTCAAAGTCTTATCCCAACAGGAGACACTGTCACTCAGCCTTCTTACAGGTACCACAGGGAAATGGCCTTCACCCTATGCTCCTCATCTCTGAGAAAGCTACTTAATGATGCATAAAATGAATTATTATAAACTAAGACCGACTCTGTACAGCAGCTGCTCACAGTGTGGAAAATCACAATTTTTCATGGCCTGTTTTCTTTGAAAACGTGTGCCCTTTCCCCATCCTTAATGCATTCTGTATATGTAAAATAAATACTCCTCGCAGCAGGGCCCTGGCTCAGAGGCCTTAAAACCTAATAAAGGAGTCCTGTGGTTTAATGGCCCTTAAATGCTCGACATCTTTTTCACTTAATGTAAAATCCATCTGATCTAATAGCCGTGACTGAATTATAGATATATAATTTTTTCTATTAAATGTTAATCTTCTGACTTGGCACAGCAATAGACGCTCTAAATTATTAAGAAGGCAATAACCTCTCTAAACTCTTTCCAGAATTCAGGATATTCCCAGGTCTGCTAGCATACAGAATAAATCTGCAAACCTGCATAAAATAAATAAAAATCATGCCTATTAGATAGCAGATGACAATTCTGGGGACACTGTCTTCTTGATGTCTTCTCCTCTATTTCATTGAGTATAAATTCATATATAATTATGTATACATACTATATGTGACCAAATCATATGTCTACATAGCTAGGAAAACAACCCTCAAAAAGTCTCCCTCTTTTTCATTTACATATGACTTTTCTGTTATCTTCCTTTGGTTGAATCCATTCATTGGTGGTGTTTGTTCAAGCAGGCATAAATAACGAGAATGCTCTCTAATACCTAGAGGGATGCCACATGCCCAATTATGCTAACTACAGCCTTCCCACTGCCCAGGGAGACTTGTGAGAGAGCAGTTGCTGTCCTGGCTTCATTTCATCTTTTCTCTTTTAAATCTATATAGTCACTTAAGGAAAAGGTGAGTATAGGGTCAGAGAGATGGTTCTGTGGGCACTATCCAATGCCTTAACATCTTTCTACAGGCCCTGCTAAAAAATTCCTGCACACACACAGACACACTCATAGCATCACAGGCTGTCAATAGGTAATATTTTGGGGGTTGAGGTGTGTAGTGTAGGGCACACACCCCATTTTTATAAGTGTATGGAGGTCAGAGGACAACTTGAGGGAGTCGGTTCTTTCCTTCCACCACATGGGCACCAGGGATCAAACTCAGGTTGTCAGGTTTGGTGGTGGTGCCCTCACCTGCTGAGCCACAAATATATACTTTTATGTTTGTATATATGTGAGTATTTTTATATATGTATGTGTACCACATGCATGCCTGGAGCTTGCAGAGACCCAAAGAGGACACTGAATACCCTAGAACTGGAGTTATAGGCAGATGTGAGCTGCCTCACATGGAGAATGTTCCAGAAACCAAACCAAGGCACTCTGCAAGAACAGCCAAATACTCTTCTCCAGCCCCTTGCTGGCCCTGTTTTAATAGATAATTCTTAATACTGGCTGAAGGTCAAAAAGAGTGAGCTTGCCTGATGATGCCAGAATGATTAAAAAAAAAAAAAAAAAAAAAAAAAAAAACCCTCTAAGGACTAAAGAAGAAAGGATTAGACCTCTGTTAGAATTCAGTGACCCTCCCAGAGAACTTGTAGATCTGTAGGTGACAATTGGTCTCCTCAGGTCTGAACACAAATAGTAAAGACAAGCATCTGCCATGATCTATTGTCTACTCTTATCAAAAGGCTTTAGTCATCAATGCTTTAAAATACAGTCTCAGCCTGGCACCTCAACAGGTCAGTGGCTGACAAAAGGATTGGCTTAAAAGGGTTTCAGACAGCCAACCAAAACGACTATCATCTTCCATATTTAGACTCTGACAGCTTTCACCCTGAATTCTCCAAAAATAAGAAACAGACTTCTTAGCTGTCCAGTCTTCTATAAGGATACTCAGAGCAATTCTTAAAAAAAAAAAAACAACCAGTTTCAGGTAAAGACAAAATAAAATATGGAGGGGCAGGGGAGAAGGCTCAGTGATGGAGAACACATACTACTCTTGCAGGGCACACAAAAAACTGGTTTCCAGAACCTGTGTCAGGAGGTGCAGAACCATCTGAAACTCCAGCTCCAGGGGGATCTGATGCCTCATCCTGGCCTCTATGAGCACCTACGCTCATGTGCACATACACACCAAAATTTAAAAGAACAAAACTTAAAACACAAAATAAAATATGCGTAATGTTATTCCCCCAACTAAGGAAAACACAGCTCTGAACATAGGTATTCAGTTCAGAACATCACTCTGTTAGACTTCAATAGGTAGCCCAAAACTCTGAAAAGAGAAATCATGGCCAAAACAAACAAACACTAAATATAACAACTAAGGAACCAGATTTAAATCATGTAAAACTTTCTGTGTCTACCTCGAGAATTAAAAAGAAATCAGTTCTGACTTTTCATTGTTTACACACTGAATAAATGTGGAAAATGCTGACTGGTAAAGAATGAAGCCATGGCATTTGTAGGGAAATGAATGCAACTGAAGACGTTATGCTAATAAGGTCAGTCTCAGAAAGATAGGTATCACGTTTGTTTTTTTTTTTTTTTTTTTTTTTTCCTCATTGTGGTTCCCAAACTTTACAGAGACATAAACCATATGAATACAGATTATATGAAAGCAGAAGTCACGCTATTCAGAGCAACAAGGGGGGCCGGTGAGGGGGGTATCAGCGTATGGGGTGAGTATGCTTAAAAGTCATTACCTGCTTGCATGGAGGTCCCTTATGTAGCCTTGTATTTTTCTTTTTTTTTTTTTAATGCTTTTTCAAAAAAGAAATACAATGGCATATCCTTGGTGTGAGTGGCAATTAATTCTATTAACTGGAGATAGGATTTTTAAAAACTGGTTCAGGATGCTCAAGGATTATTAAGGCACAATTTGTGATGGATGGAAACTCAGGGGCTAGGGAGATGGCTTCAGTGAATACAGCACTTGCCATGTGTGTGTCAAAAGCAGAGTTTGGATCCCCAGAACTAACTTATAAAAGCCAGACAGGACTGGTGGCCACCTGTAACCCCAGCATGAGGGAGCCAGAGACACTGAGGGATTCCCAGGGCAAGCTGGCTCACTAATCTAGCCTATCGCCAAGCTCTGGGTTCAACTGAGAGTCCCTGCTGCAATAAAGAAAGTGATGAGCAATGAGGAAGATACTCAACATCAACTTAGGGCCTCTATGTATGCATATGATGGTGCATGTACATGCAAAGCACCCATACACACATGAACATATATACATATGTGTTCATGTATCTCTATACATGTATATATGCAACACACACACATACAAGCTCAAATGAAATGATCCATTTGTGCAATTACTTGCTAAATGTCATATTAGTGCTTTTTAGTGTGAACAGTAAACAAAATATTAATCAAAATAAAGACATATAAATTCTCTGTAGTAAGATGTAGTTAGTGAAATAACTGGTTAGATAATTTACCATAAATATGTCCAATTCCATTAACTTCTTGCTGTCTTTATTCTGGCAGCTTCCTGCATTGTGACACTGTTGTCTAAAACTTGACGATGTTTCCCCAAATCAATTCTCTGATACTAATTTTGCAAGAAACTTGTGTTTCCCATTATTAATCCCATTCAGATGACATGCCTCTAAGTAAGTCTGAAACATTTGGAAGATGCATGTATAATGAGTGCTTGATTACAACAGTCACAAATGTCAAAGTAACGGAGAGAAAGTCAAATTTTTGACACTTTGGAAAAATCTGCACACCATTTCTCTTTGTTCTCATTTGAAAGACCATGGCAACAACTGCAAGTGACAAAAGGCTAAAGCTCTGCCATGGAGACCATGAAGCCATCTTCTTATAAACGCCTCAAATATTCAGCGCCTACCTATTCTTGATCTAAGTGTAACTTAGCGCTGTAAAACATTCATGAAGAGAAGTCTACCTTAAAAGGTGTAAGTGTAAGAAGAAAAACAAAGCCAAAGACACTTGTTATGCGGCTCAAGAAAGATGCACCTTGGCTAGTCGCATAGTCCACTCCTCCAGTGTGTAAGTTTTAAAGACAACATGAGGGGAAAAATGATTTCTCTGTAAGTATGTGTGTGCACATGTGTGCGTGTGCATGTGGCAGCCAGAGATAAACATCTGGCATCTTCATCAACCACTCTCCATTTTACTTTTTGAGACAGGGTCTCTGAACCGCAGCTGGCTGATCTGATTGGACGGTCTCAGACTCTGCGCTCTCTGCCTCTCAGAGCTGGGATTATAGGTGCACACTGTTGCACCTGGGAGGTAGGAAACTGGATCCTGGGGATTGAACTCAGGTCCTCATGGTTGCCTGGAAAGCACTTTACTGACTCAGTCATCTCCTCAGTCCCTGGAAGATATTTTCATCCATTTAAAATTAGCTATCAGCTAAATCAGTTTCTCCAAAAATCAATTTTTAAGTGCTTATTTCAGCCTCTTTTCATATGGACCCATTCAAATGGCTCATATTTTATTAGGTAAGATATAGTTTTAAAAAGTATAAATAGAAAAGATGTAGCTGAAGTGGCAAGGCATGCCCTTTGCCACTGTGTGAAATGAAAATACACAAAAATCTAAGGTTTGAACCAACTGAAAAACTCAGTGACATGCTTGCCCCATAAAAATAAAATAAAATTCAACAGAACAAAATATATTTTATTTTACTGATACTATCAGAGTAAGACCCAGAAGAGCCACGTTGTTGCACCCAGAATGCATAGCACCAGCAGGACAGGCTCTGGGTCAGCTGACACTAGCACACAAGGCCCTGTCGCATCTGTATGATCTGTAGTAAGGCAGCTTGTACGTCTTCATCCATGTGTCCCTGGAGAGGAGGAGGATGGGAAGAAACAGCGAATGTCATCTTTCTTGACCTCTGAAGGGGAAGCCTTTATACTAGGGCACATCTGGCTGTTTCACAGTGAACCCCTCACCATGCTAAGAGTACACCATAGGAACTCACCCATCGGAATAAAGGCATCAGGCCACAAGGAGTCAGTGCACAAGAGGGACTCTTAACACTTAAGAGCAAAAAGAACCAATGGTAGCAATGGTCTCTGCTGAGTAGGGCTGGGTACATTATAATCAGTAAGCTACAAGTATGTAGCACATGTGCGTCCTCACATATTCTCTACCTTCTACACAGAGGTAGAGGCTGCCACTTTAAACCACAGCTTGCCATTGGCTGGTGAGTCTTTCTAGCCAGCTTGCTGACATACCCACTCGGCATTTCTATGGTGCTGGGTATCTGAACTCTGGTTCTCAAGCTAGCATGAAAAAGTGCCTTGCCCACTTAGCCATCTCCCTGCCCCCTTCCCCTTTAAGGAGAAAAGCAACTGAGGAAAAATAATTTCCATACTTATAATTTTTACATAAGCAAGATGACACATTTTTGCAGCTCGCCTATTCACCCAGTGTCAGCTGTTAATTTTTCTTATGTAATATCCCAGTATATGGACATCACATTTACATTTCTTCCCTAATGTCAGGCATTTAAAACACACACACACACACACACACACACACACACCACATACACACACACACACACACACACAATCTTTATAGCCAGACACTTGAAAAAGAAATAGCTGGCTCAAAAGGTGGGTTTAACACTGGGGAACAACTATAATGCCAGCACTCCGAAAGTAGGAGGAGGAGGATCAGGAATTCAAGGGAAGCCTGAGCTGTATGAGACCTGACTCAAAAAACAAAACCACAATAACAACAAAGTCAGCTCAATAAAAGTATTACAAATAACAATTTACACTTCCACCCAAAAGAGCATAAAAGAACCCACTTTCCAAACACTTGGCTGACACTATAGCTAAAAGTTACCTCTTATACACTGGCATCTCCCTTGTTGCAAAGTTGAGTGTGTCAGTCATTTACATTTTAAAGGAAACAGAGGGCATTAGGTGTCCGGCTCTGTCACTAACCCTGCCTTATTCCCTTGAGACAGGGTGTCTCACTGGACCTGGAGCTAGGCTGGTGGCAGCCCCAGTGATCCTCCTGTCTCCATTATCCTGGGAGTTGGGGTTGCAGGCACTCAGGCAGCCATGCCTGACTCTTTATGTGGGTTCTGGGATCTGATCTGCAAGTGTGTTTATGTACTGAGCCATCTGAGCTTTTCTAATTCCCCTCATAAACGCCCAATGATAGCGCTAATAACTGAAATAACCTTTCAGATCTCAGCAAATGTCTGACCCACTCAAAAAGTAGCAGGGAAGCACCCTCCATATACCAGCCCTCCTTTTCAGTTCCCTCTCCCTCCCTATAGAAAAAGTAGACTATTGGTATAAGAATTTGATGTCAGACAGTATGTTTACGCTTTCTCTCTTTTTTAAAAAATCATGTTTCTTTGAAATTTGCCCTCAGCACCCATCTTCTACCCTTCTTCTTCTTCTTCTTCTTCTTTTTTTTTTTTTTTTAAACAGAACAGTGTGGCCTGACACTTTTCAAATCCAAATAATTCCTATTAGCCCTCACCCGTCATTCCAACATTTGTCTCTTTCAGTACCTCTTCCTGAGCAATCTATTCTGAGAACTCGGGAGACGCTATTCACATGGCTGCCACAGAGAAGTAACAGCCCATCTTTCACACCCTAAACATTCTCTTAGCATGATTTTTTTAAAGGCTTTCTCAGGACATCACTAAGGAAGAGGATTTACAATCTTTTGCTTCACCAAGTTTAAAGCTCCATAAATAAATATCAATTATCTCATAACAGGCCAATTTTCCTTAATTATTACAATTCTATGCATATCCCCTTTGTCCTTTTCAGACTAAGTTTTCTCTACTTCAAAGAACCCCCCTAAACCTCCGGGAAACATATGCAGTCCCCTCTACTCTCCCTCTTCCCGCTGACAGACACGTGCGATGTCAAGGCATTATCCCAGCTAGCAACACTGTTAATGTGAGCTGCCATCGTGTGTTGCCAAACTGTCTAGAAGATGAGTGACAAGCAGATGGAGACAACACTAAATTTAAGATGTTGTGTTGCTGTATAGCCTTGTAAATTGTTCTGGGAGATATGCAAGCCATGATTAAAAGAAACACAATTATTTTTAAATAAGCATATGGGCTAGAACAACTTCAAATGTCAATTATATTCGTGTAAGTTTATTCAAAAAATAAAAACAGTATTTTATTTTTCTCTAAAATGAATATATTTCCAAAGACACAGGAGTTCTTACCTGTGCAGCACTGAGAAGGTGTGTCCGGTAGATAGCAATGACTTCCTGGTGCTGTCTGTCAGCATCCTAGAACCAGGGGGAAGTAGACAGATGAGAACACCAGCACCAACATCTGCAAGACCAAGAGGCTCGTGGAAACACTGCCCCGAGGCCTCCTGCTGCAGACTGGTGGATTACTAAAGGGCTCCCTCCTGCCACTCTCAGAACAAACCACAGATGCTGAATTACATATGATGGAACTAGTGTAAGATTTTCCCATAATGCACAGGAATATTCCTGGGAGAGCAATGACACTTACCCTAGGCCATAGGGGTTTGCTGCCTCAGTTTACCTCTACTGCTATGAACTTGCCAACTTATGACTCGGGACATTGCAAAAGCTTCCCATTCCCTTGTTTCCAGTGTCCCCTTTGTCATGTCTCCAGGGCTGGGCTAGATCTTCCCCTTTCATCAGTGTGCTGGCTCAGAGACCTCAGGGGTTGCCTCCTTCTACATTTGAGAAAATCCAAACCTACCAGCTTACTCTTCCAAGTCCTCCACAACTCAGTCTCAAATAGAAAAAACTTAGGCTATTTTGATATTGATTTTTGTTATTTTAAGTGTGCATGTGTGAGTGCCGTGCCCACAGAGGCCAGAGGCATCAGATCCCTTGGAGCTGGAGTTATGGGTGGTTGTGAGCTGCTCTGGCTCAGAGTGGGTGCTAGGAACTGAACTTGAGTCCTCTGCAAGAGCAGCGGATGCTTCTAACTTTCTCACTGCTGAGCCATCTCTCAAGCTCAGATCTAAAAGCAACTGTGTTGGTGTTATTGTTGTTGTTGTTTTAGTGTGGGAGGAGGGCAGGGAGAACATGAATGAGAGCATGGGCACACATGGAGGTAGAGGACGGCTCTGAGCAGCAGTTCGTTCCTCCCGCCTTTGTATGCCTTCCTTGGGTTGTCAGGCGTGTGCACCAAGTGTGTTACTGCTGAGCCACCCCCACCCTCTGCCTCTAGGATGGTGGCTTACATGCATGGCCATGCCCCACTAGGCCTGCCTTTTGTCACACTCTGGCCATGGTGGCTAGATTCCACCTCAGTGGGTCTTTCCACACTATTTTTGCGGCCTGAAAGATCCTCTGCCTTCCTTTCATCCACCAAAATAGTAATTCAGGCCAAGGTCTTCCCTTCTTTAGAACCGGTTCCTAATTGACTTTCCTGCCAGGGAAAGAGCTGTTTGGATGTGCTCCACACCTCACTTGTTAGAAATAGTTCCCGGTCAGCAGTGGCCATAGGGTAGGTCTAATGTTGATGATGGCATTATTGATGTCATTATCACAGGATTCTTCCTGCCAGTGCAGAGTCCTTGTGAGAGGTGAGTTTGGCCCTTCCCACTCTTGTTCTGTGTGATAATTTCTACCATGTTGTGACACAGCCACAAGGTCCACACCAGATGCAGCCCCTCCAAAGCCATGAGCCAGCACATCTCCTTAAACTACCCTGCTTTGTAGAATGGTGGTGCAGGCACCATTTAGAAAGAAAATACAGAATGCTTATTGTATTGGCATCTAGTAGGCATAAAATAAATGACACTACCATCCCATAAGTAATGGTAACATTAAACAAAGATTACACACTTGAGTGTGACAACAGCTACATGGAAGCTTCACTCACACACACACACACTCACACACACACATACACACACACTCAGCTGGCCCCGCCCCTCAGTGCCCCGACACTCACAGCCAGCTGCTGCTGCAGATCTCTCACTCGGTGCTGCAGAGTATCCACCAGCTGGCTCTGCCGCCTGGTGGGGCTGCCGCTGGTATAGGTGAGCTGGGAAAGACCATTGAGCGCCTGCTTCAGCCTTTCCACATCATTCAGAAGTTCAGTTATCTTTTGAGAGAGGGGGGGGTGTAGGAAAACACAAGCCATCACTTCTGGTGAACATCTCTGCACACAATTACTCCTCACTTGAGACACAACAGTAAACAGCAGGCGTGGTGCTGCCAAGACTCTACCGACAAAGCACACAACGTGCTCTCCTTATAGTCCTCAGACTGGATTCCCTTCAGTAAATTTCTCCCAAAGGCAACACCGAATTAATAGACACCCTGCACATTCTAGGACTGGACCATGAACTTAGTATTATTCTAGGAGTACGAAAGGGCCTCCGAGGCACCTGAATGATCCCCCAGGTGATGCTTTGAACACTGGAAAGGGGTTGTATTCGATGGAGCATGAAAAGTGAAAGAGCTTGGCTCATGCACACACAGAATTAAGTTTTTCTTCCCATCAAACAGTTTTTAAAAGATTTATTTTTAATTTGTGTATTTGTGTATGTGCAGTGCCCAGAGAGGCCAGCAGATGGCAACATGTTCTCCCAGAGCTGGAATTTCAGGAGGCTGTCAGCTGCCCAACATCGGTGCTAAGTCTTCTGGAAGAGCAGCCAGCAAGTGCTCTTAACTGCTAAGCCATCTCTGCAGTCCCCGGAGTTGCACTGTTTACTAACTGGCAATGTGTGTAAGTAGATGCAGGCATTAGCTATCACAATGATGTGTTACTGCATCCTAACGACTTTGCATATAAGCTGAGTGGATTTAAATGCTGGATCTTATGGGAAGACATGCTGCTGAGGAGGGTTGGCTCTGAGCCTGCTTTTACTCATTCTATATTTCCCCAGTGGGTAGAGGCCACTTCATAATTACTTAGTGAATGCATTAAGCTGTGATCAGTCTTCCTATTTCATTTCCATGGTACAAACTAGACATCTACCAGTTTCAAAAATATTATTATGTAGCTGTTCTGTAAAATTGGACCATAAGGAAGGAAACCTAGAGGGAGGGATAAATTATAAATTTTGCTTCTAAAATGTTTTAATTTAGTAAAGCCTGTGTTTTGGAGGAACTTTCGGCTATAGGCTAGACTGACCAGTGTGAACTTCAGGGTAAAGATGGGGTGTTAAAGGGTACACAGGACACACAGCATAACAAAAAGGACAGAACATCCCAGGCCAGGTCTGTAGAAACCTGTGAGCAGAATGCACAGTGGTGTGGGCTCAGTGCACGGGTATGGGTGAGCAGGCAGATGGAGTGTGGATGCTCCCAGTGACCCTGACTTCTCGAAACCAGAAGCCCACAGATTCTGACTCGTCACTCCAAGGAAGAGAACCTTACTCTCCCCCTTTCCCTTAACTGTCAGCTGAGTGCACAGAAAGAAGAAAGCCTTTCATTTTAGCGCTTTTCCAATTCAGAGGTTTTTGACACACCCGTAATCAGTTGGAAGGGTGGTGCTTCACTAATGGTTTTATAGACCTATCTGTGGGTCACCGTGCTAAGAAATCATAGCTAAGGCTACCACATAGCCCTACGCTAGGGTTTCCTCCACACAGCCACTCCATCTGCACCATGCCTACCTTGTTATCCTTTGCTTCAATCTGCTGGGCAGACTCCTGAATCCTCTGCTGTAGCTCCATGATTGTTGTCAGGGACTTGTCACATCGCTCCTTCTGGTCCTTGATCTCCTGCTCAATGCTGAGATGGAGCAGTTCCTTCGTGTCTTTGGCAGAGAACTTCTCCTCACACACTTGGTCGTACTTCTTGTTCAGGCTGGCCAGTTTGTCATTTAAGTTGGAAATCTGGGTCTCCAAATCGTTCTTCGTGGCTTTGTATTTCGACATGTCGACAACCTCTCTGGTCTCAAGATTCTTCAGTGCCTGCTTGGTATTCTGAACCTCTGTCTGGAGTTTGGAGACTTCCTTGGTTTTGTTCTGGCTTTCCTCTTCCTTTTCTCTCAGGCTGGCTTTCATCATTCCGACCTCTTTCTCGAAGGCCTCTTTTATCTGCAGATGATCTGCCAGGGGCACAGAGGAGTTCTTCTGATTCTCCAGCAGCTGCTGAAGCTTGCTCACTGTCTGCTGCTCTTTCTCCAGACACCTCTGTTTATCCCTCAGCTCTTCCCGTAGGTGCTCGATTGTGTTGTTGAGAGAGATTTTCAAAGCCTCTACCTGCTCCAACGGGACAGGCTGTTTTTGCAGAAGATTTTGGGCTGCAAGAACCTCGGAGGCTTGTTTGGCCTTTTCTTCTGCCAGCTTCTCTTTCTCGTTCTTCACACTGGTGTATCTTTGGGACAGGTCCTTCAGTTGTTTGCTGAGTTCTTCTGTTTTCCCACTTAGCACCCTTTCCGCTTCCCTGGCCTCTTCCACTACCACATTCTTACCCTTCAACTCTTTCTGAAGGGCATCAAGATCCTGCCTCAGCCGCTCGTTCTCTTGCTTGCCTTTCTTGACTTCTTCATCCCTGACGCGACACTTGTGTGTCTGCTCCGATAACTGCTCCCTCAGTCCTTTTTCTGTGGCCTTGAACTTGCGTTCACATTCTTCCAAGCGGGACAGTGGAGCATATTTCAGCTTGATGCATTCCTGGATGGTGTCAAGCTCCTTTTTCTGGGCCTTAATCTCAGCATGCAGTGTGAGGATCTCCTCCTGGCCGCGGCGGTAGTCGGCCAGAACAGCGGTGTTAGCATCCTGCGCCTCCTTCAGGCTCTGACTCACAGTGTTCATCTTTCTTGAGTGCTCTTCGAGGCTCACACAGTCAACCTTCATTTGATTCTGAACGTTCTCCAGGTTCCTTCTCAATACCTCATTCTCGCCTCTCATTTTTGAACATTCCTGGCTCATGTCTTCAAACCTTTTTTTGGCATCAAGCAAGGCTTTGTTGGTTTTCTCCAATGAGCAGCTCAGCGAGGCCTTTACCTCCTCGTAGGTTTTGGTGGGCACATACTGGCTATTCAGAGTCTTTTTCAAGCTAGTGTTTTCAGACATGAGTACATGCATTTTCTCCTGATCCTCCGCACATTTTTTATTAAGTTCAGACAGCTGCTTTTTGAGTTCAGCAATATTGGATTTCAGATCCATTAGCTCCTTTTCATGTTTTTCGGGAGCTACAAACATAGCTTCCAGGCGGCTGACGTTCTTGGCTAGCCTGTCTTTCTCCACCAGCAGTCTCTCAGCTTCCAGCTTCTTCTCAGTGTATCTCTGTGTCACCTCTGAAAGCTTCTTATTCAGATCCTCCACGCTGACATCATGGGACTTCTTCATCTCCTCGTTGGCCTTTAAAGGCACGTAGCACGTTTCCATCTCCACCGTGAGGCTGTGCACCTGCTGGCTGAGACGCTTGTTGTCCACATGGACCCTTTCCACCTCTTTCTGCAGCGTCTGGTTTTTGAGGGTTAGCTCTGTGACCTTCTTTCCCAACTCTCCCGACTTCTGCTCCAGCCTACTCTTGAGCTGCTGGTGTTCCTCTGGCCTGATGTGCTGGGTGAGCTTGGCCCTGGCACTCTCCAGCTCCCTCTTCAGCTGCCGGATTTCCCCCAGAGAGTTTTCATAGTCCCGCCCCACCTCTGCTAGCCGTTTCACTTTCTCATCGACTTCACTGGACAAGGAGCTCTTCATGCTTTCAAACTTCTCTGTGGGGATGGAAAGCGCCAGCTTTGCCACCAGCTCTTTCAGCTGGCCCTCCAACTCCACGACCCTTCTTCCTTTCCTCTCCTTCTCTACTTCACACGTGCTGCATTCCTTCTGCAATCTCTTGTTTTCCTCCACCAGCCTACCTTCGTCTCTCCTGAACTCTTCTACCAGCATCTCGCTCTGTTTGATTTGGTTCCTCAGCTTCCCCACTTCTGCTGAAGCCCCTTCATACTTGGCTTTCATGTCTTTCAGCTGCTCCTTCAGTTCCTCGGCGACTCGGTGGCTCCCTGTGGCTGCTTCGCTGGTCAGGTGCTCTTTCAGGGCCAGGAAGTGGGCCTGCATTTGTTTGACTTTCCCTTCGGACTCATACATCCTCTTCTGCACGTCTTTGAGGGCATCTTCCAGCTGCTTGATCTGCTCATCCGAGTCCTCCTTGACTCTCTCACACTCCAGAGCTAAGGCTTTGCATTCTGCTGCCTTATGAGCCAGTTCGTTTTGGAGCTTCAGCCGGTCTTGCTTAGCCGAGTCACAGAAAGTTCGCATGGCTTCTAACTCTTTCTTTAAAATCTCATTTTCAGAGTATGAGGTCTGACTGGGTAAAGAGAGCTCCAGGGGTCTTAACATAGACCTGCTTTGCATATGGGTGGGTATGCCTGGGGATGCACACTGCAAAGGAAAAACAGACGTCAACCACAGAGCCTAAAGAAGACACTGTGGAGACTTCGGTTTTATAGAAGGCTCCAAACCATCTATATCATCAGCAGTCAAAGGTTTTTCAGGAAGAATATGGGAGAGATGGGTATAGGAAAAAAATAAAGGATCCATTTTATAATAAGAAAAACCATCCTGGGTAGAATTTCTTCAATATGCTTAAGCATTGACAGTTTTTAGGTGAATTTCTAAAGAATCTGGGTTCCTTTCTCAACTCAGCATGCCTCCATTCTATAAGAACCCCAGTTCTAGGAAAACATGCTTACTATTCCATTATGTTATCTGCCTAGACTTGAGGTTCTAAAACAAGCCATCACAATGCCCAACTATTGAATCTTATATATGTAAATAACCTCATAGAATTATATATTATTCATTATGTATTATTTGTTTGTTTACTTGTTTTGTGAGGTACATATACGTGAAGAGGACAAATTGTGAGTTGCTTCTATCTTTCATGATGTGGGTCCCAAGTTCGAACTCAGGTCATCAGGCTTGTAGGCAGGTGCCTTTACCAGCTAAGCCACCTGGCTGATCCAGGTGTTATTAAATTTCTAACAAAATATATGTGCCATCTGAGCACTCTCACTGTTAATTCTACCAAATAAGCCCACACTGTATGAGAATTGTCAGGGAAATGTCAATCAACTTAAAAAAAAAAAAGGCATGTATTTTCCTTCTAGCAGGAAGATAAATATAAATTCTAGCATATAATCTTAATATAAAACTTGATGGATACCTTGTTCCCATGATTAATGCTGACACAAAAAGAAGAATAATTGAACTTCTGAGAGAAACAGTTCAACTATCAGGGTATATAATCATGAGAGACTCAGTATAAATATTTTTACTTTTCTCATGTAGCAACAATGGTCTTTATATAAGTACTAATTCATCAATAAATATCAATGGGCCACGAGGATATCCTATTATTTCAATGGGCAGAATGTTTTGTTTTAATCTATTGGAGTACATTAAAACTGCCTTGCTTTTTTTTCAAGAGTAAGAAATTGCCAACATAAAATACTTTCCTGGCCTTGGCCTGTCTCTAGACTAGCTTTCAATTATCTTTACACTAAAACTAGTATAATTTGCCAAGAAGTTGTAGATACAACAGAGTCACAACTTCCATGATATTTATATATTATTGCAATCACTGGGGGCCCTAGCCAGTCCCCTCACTGAAGACTCATGGATCTCCATTGGATACTCTTTCACTACTATTCTTTTATTGAGACAGTATCAGTAGCCAAGGCTGGCCTCACAAAAACTCTGCATCTGACCTTTGACTTCTGCTCCTCTCCCTCCAACCCCCTCACAGCCATGCACCAACATGCCAGGTTTCTGCAGCACTGGGGTTGGGACCTAGGGCTTCACACATGCCAGGTAAATAGGTAAGAACTTAGCCAATCTTCTACCTCTTGGAAACTTTCTCTGTTTTGAAGTCAACTTCAAACAGAGGATAACTGTTTAATTGCAAGGAAAAAATACATTCACTGACCAACTACTGCTTTTGAGTGATTCACACTGGCACCCTCCTACATGGCACACAGAAGCGCTAACACACCCAATGAAGGCTGAGGATCAGAGGACAGGGCAGACAGTCCAACCTGTTGGTTAAGGCACTGTCACCACAAACTCTCTAGAGGACCCCAGAAACAACAATATGTAGTTTTACTTTTATTAAACTCTAAAAAGCAAGACCAACTTTGAGCATGAAAACCTTACTCAGAGCTAACATACTTAGTAGACATACAGAGGTTTCTTCATTTTAGACAGACCCAAGTGTTTCCTTTTTTAAAATGGGATATTTATTATTGTTGTTTTTCTTTTTAGACAGGGTCTCACTATGTTCCAGGCTGGCCTGGAAGTTGCTATGTGAACCATGTTAGCCTCTAACTCCCAGGGATTCACCCACAACAGCGAGCACCATCATAGCTGGCCCCTTTAGATAGGTTTTTAAGTTAAATAACAAAAGTCTCACCTGAGAGTCCGTCGGGTACATTTGACCTTGTTTATGAAGCATGTCTTCTTTTCCTAATTAAAACCAATAAATGATTGGTTTTAAATGATATTTTAAATATTCTTGTCCTTTATCAGATAACCAAAACAAAAGCAGTACAATATAAAGCTATTCTTGCTCTTAAGTAGCCATATTTTTTTCCGAATTATTTCTGTCAGTACAAGGAAAGCATCTACAGGGTACTGAACAGCAGGTACTAAGGGTGGTTTTCAAAAACACGGAAGACTTTCTGGAGAGATGACTCAGTGGGCAGGAGCATCTGCTACTCTTTCAGAGGACATGAGTTCAGTCCCCAGTACTCATATCAAGTGGCTCAGAGCTACCTGTAACTCCAGCTCCAGGGGATCTAATGCCCCCCTTTTTTCCTCTATGGGCATACTTATTCACAGAGAGACACATATTTTAAAATAAAATTAATACTTTTAAAAAAGAAATCTGTAAGACTGTTAGGTTAAATAGGATTACTTAGCAAGAGAAGCAAAAAGATAGGTTTTCTAGAGAAACTCTATCAAACTAGGGAATAAAAAGAGGAGATGCATTATGAGTAATCCTAAAATAATAAATAATTGCTATGAACATGTGAAATACTTATTTGCACTGAGATCAATTTCTCCCCATCAGAAAACTACATTTGTTTCTTTCCATTAAAAAGTAAATAAAATAAATAAATCCTGATCTGGACAGATGCTTAATGTTTCAAAGAACTGACTGCTTTTCCAGAGGATCCAGGTTCGATTCCCAGTACCCCCATGGCTGTTCACAACCATCTATAAACTTTATCTCCAGGGTCTTCAAACCCCCTTCTGGGCTCCTGGGTACTGCATGCGGGACCTCTGTGCCTGCCACGTTTCACTTTAGAAGCCAAGTGTTATCTGAGGCAACCCCTCCATCTGCTAGCGTGTAACATAGAAACAGCTGCTGACATTGGGCAGTAACAGCACTGTATACAGGGAGGTACAGCCATCCCTGTTTGCCCATGCACTCATACTTACGGTTACTGGAGTAACTCCCGGGTACTGAATGATCACTCTGAAATCAGAAGTACAAATTAAGATGTTTTAGGTATACATGGTCCCGACTTGTCAAATGCTCTATCTATTTTAGTTCTAAAGGGTCCCGTCCTTGAAAACACCTTTGGCTATGCCTTGCTCCTCTGCAGTGTTGCTCCACCTGAGCCTAAAAGGGACAGAGAGCTACCAACAGTAGGGGCAGTGGGAGCACACTAACAAACTCAGTCAAGAGCTTCAAGGAAAAAAAAACTGCACTGCTTTAAACACAAGAAGAATGAGCGAGCGGCAAGTGAACCGAAACCTCAATGCCTCCCATTTGCTATTGCTGTGTGCCTGGGAAGGAAGGGAGTGGCTACAGTCACAGCAAGGACGCATTTCCCTTCCCACAGCTGGGACTGACTCAGGGGTATTGGAATCCCTTCTCAGAGCTGTTGACGTGTAGACTGATGCTGTTGCCAAGTTAAACCCGGACAAAGGCCTGCGCATTGCCACCAGTGAGGAAAAGGCAAAGGGATGCTTCAGATACCCTCAGTTAAACTGCACTCGGGCTGTCCCTTTTCCCAAGTGAGGATGTCCACAGACTAGTGCAGAGGCAAAAATACCATACTCCCAGGGTAGGGTGTGTCAGCTCAGGGGGCGTGGCAAACACAGCCCAGTGTTTGACATGTAAGTTAATGTTACCTACAGCCTGCTGTTTCAAAACTAAACCAACTCACCTCTGACGTCAATGCTCCAAATGCAGGGTGTAGCACATGTAAGTGTTGGTAAGCTGTTCATGCTACACAGCATTTAATACTAGAGTCTATAATCAATCACTACAGGGAATTACATATACATGGAGGAGAGGGGTAGGACACAATATAAACAGGAATTCTAATCTTTTCTTAATTTCTCAATTACAACATAAAACTAGCTTCATTCTAAAGTGCCCAGGTTTCCCCCAGTTTTAAACATGATAAATGCCTCCACATAATTTTTGACATGCAATCCTTAGTAATATTATAGACACTCAAATTGCACCAGTGTGTCCACAGGTATCAAGAGTCAGATATTCTGAGAACCCTCGCATGACATAGTGCAGAGCATGGCTTGTATGATGTACACCCTCCCACATATTCTAACTAACCTCTAGATTATACACAATGTCCAGCAGAAGGTAAATGCCATGGAAATAGCTGGTGTGTGGGACAACTTTGGGAAAATAACAAGAAGAGATGCATCTGTACATGTTCAATAGGGAACTTTTCCTGTCACTTTTTATTTACTGTCCTTTAATTTATGGATGCAGAGTTTAGGAACATGGATATGGAGATTTGCTGTAAATGATGAGTCCTTGACTAAATAACTAGCTTCATAAGTACATGTAAGTAGGCCCTGGGATTTTCTGTTTGCTCTAAAAAAATTTGCCTGTATAAGAATTCATCACAATGAATATACACTGACTGAGGAAAATGTCCCCATTGTTCTTGTAGGAAAGTGACTAAACAGGACATATAACATGATCACACCCACTGAAGGAGGAAATAACACATAAATTATGCAAAAGAAATAAAAGACTTGGTCATGTGTTCATTAACACTTAGATTACACTACCTACTTTTAGCTTAACTATAATTTTTATTTAAAAAATAAATAAATATAGCAGTTAAGAGCATTCACTGCTCTTCCAGAGGGCCCAGCTCTGATTCCCAGCACCCACATGGCAGCTCACAACTATGTGTAACTCCAGTCCCAGGAAATCCAGAGCTCTCTTCCGGCCTCCATGGGCCCCTGGTATGTGGTACACAGGCATGCATGCAGGCAAAACACCCATACACATAAAGCACAATTTTTATAAAAAATACACACTGGTTTTAAGATAAGGAAAAAAACTTAATTTCCTTTAGTTTATATCATAGCCTTATTGAAAGTTCTAAATTTGACACACTTGTCTAAATGTGATTTTCTGAGACATCTTCAATCTACCTCCTAGAATAAAAAAATAAATAGCATCCAAATCTCAGGTGTCAGGCTCTGATGATCATGTAAGCACCCTAAGGTAGTGAGGAGTCCAGCAGCGAAGCCCAAAGATACCTGGTTCAAGCCCTACCTCTGTCATTTCCTACCGTATGTGAGCCCCTGCCTGGGAAACCTCTGTCCAAAACTCTCCAAGTACAGACAAAAATGAAGTCTTCACAGGGGGATTACACGAGTATCAATGCACGCATGTTGCATGGCGGTGGTGGCACACGCCTTTAATTCCAGCACTTAGGAGGCAGAGGCAGATGGATCTCTGTGAGTTCGAGTTCAGCCTTGTCTACAGAGCTAGTTCCAAGACAGGCTCCAAAGCTACACAGAAAAACCCTGTCTGGAAAAACCAAACCAACCAACCAACCAAACAAACAAAAAACAAACCAAAACAAAAATGCTCTCACCTAACCTACAAAGTCTACCAAGTTAGGGAAAGCTACCCCAGCTCTGCCAAAGTGGCCACAAGCGCAGGAACTTTAAGTAAAGAGGGGATTTATAATTCAAGTTCAGTTCTGACACCAGGCCCCTTCCCACTCCCCACTGTAAAATGAATAATTTAATATTTACCTACCTCAAAATACTTAAATCTACTTTTCAGAGCCTCAATGGTTCTTAAGCTTTCTTCGTGTTGTTTTTCCTTAGCTGCCAAAAGGGACTTCAGCTTTTCTCTCTGAAATGGGAAGGAAACATAAATTGGCCCTGTGTTTAAGATGGGGTAAACGACTGCTTTGAAAATGTGAACTGGGAATACTGTGGGAACTGGCTGGAGGGATTCTTCAATCTGGTGGATTTTAACTACTTTTTAAAATATTTTTTTCTTATTATATTTTCTTTTATTATTATTATTATTTATTTTTAATTTTACATGTCGATCCCAGTTCCCTCTCCCTCCCTCTCTCCCTCCCTCCCTCCCTCCCTCTTTCCCCCTCTCAGATGCACCTTGACCACCCTCCCCTCCCATCCCCCCACCCCAATTCCACATGTAGGGCAATGCCATCCAGGTGGGATCATGTAAATCTGTCAAGTCATTTGAAGTAGGGACTAGGACTTCTCTCCTGTCTCTAGGTTAAGGGAGTATCCCTCCATGGAGGGTTAGCAGAGTTTCTAATTTATAGAAATATACCAACAAAATACATCTCTACAAGCAATATTGTTAAAACATTTAAAATTTCGTTGTTTTAAATCATTATTTTCAGACATCTTCTTTATAATTGGAATTGTTTGTTTCCTTAATAAGCTTCAGGAAAACTACATTCAAAACAGTCTTCCAGACATACACAGCTTCTGTTTTCCCTTTAAAATTTTTACTTTAGTAATTAAGATGTTGTTGTAAAAATATGCAGATGAAAACATTATGCTGTTATTAGCCAGACCCAAAGGCCACACTATGTAGAGTTCTGTATATAAGTGTATATTTATGTGCAAAATCTATAAAGTCCATATTACTTAAAGGTCTATATGTGACATCTATAGTCTATACTATGTATAAAGTCTATACTATACAGAGTCCAGAAATAGTGTTCATGTCCACCTTGCTTCTTCATGTTAGTATCACCCTCCATTTACAAGACATCTGTAGGCTTTAAAATAAAACGTAGCACCCTACCTCACTTTCCAGATCATCGGCAACCATTACTTCCTAAGGTTAAGAAGAAGAAATGCATTTTAAATCTTGAACATTTTCCTTGAAGAGCATGAGCTTAGAAAATATCTTCAGAATGTGTGGTGCATGTCTTTACGATTGGGGACAAGGATGTAAGGAGGCATGTCTCTGGGCAACACGTCTGCCTGTCCTATGAGCTGTCATTCATTCTTCCTCCTCCGTCAACAATCTTCGGTCCTTGGGCTGACTTGTTGCTCTCATCTCTCTTTCTGGGAGACCTGTTAACTCAGATGCTCTCTCATCTCCAACTGTTCATACTTGCCAAGTCCTTACCTTTCCCTAGATTATGGGACAGTTTTCCAGTTTTATTTTTGGAATCAGACTGTTCCTTCTTCAAAATATCCTATTTTTAACTCATAGATAAAACATCCTCTTGTCTTATGGATAATATTAACAGTGGATGGACGATCTGGAGTTTTAGTTTTGGATTTCCTTTCCCTGCACAATCCATTGTTTCTGTGTTTCTCCAGTGTCTGCTTTGTATCCACATTCTGGGGCTGGAGCTCTCTGAGGATATCTAACACTTTGGTTTTTCCTCAATTCAGAAATGAATGCAGAACTCAGGAGCTGTACACGTGAGTGTGACAAATCGGCTTCAATGCAAGATGACAAGATTGGCCTAACAGCTAAGTGCTCCTCAGTTCAACATCTAAAATCCACTACAGGAATAGAGACCTTTGGCTCTGAAAGGACAACCATGGCGTACCTCTTCCACATGAACAGAAGCATCACTTGAGACTTCACCATGACAACTCATCCTGGATGAGACACGCACTCAAAGAGCGACTCAGCTAAAGTGGACTGCAAGTATTTTCTCCTTCCCTCCTAAAAATAATGACTTAGGGACATTTCTTATATTTGAAATTTCTTATACATCCATATTGTCTGTGTGTGTATGTGAGCATATGTGCACATGAGTGCAGTGCCTGTGGAGGTTAGAAGTAGATGTCAGTTCCCCTGGAGCTGGAGTTAGAGATGGTTGTAGGCAGCTGTGTGTGGATGTTGAGAACTGAACCCAGGCCCTCTGCAAGAGCAGCCCATGCTCTAACTGCTGAGTCCACCTCTCTGGACCACACATCCAACTTCGTAAATACTAGAGGATGCACCCACATGTCACTGTTTCTGGGATTCCGTTTGGAACAATGGTCCTGAACTACCTCCTCACCCCATCTGGCTTTCTTTCAAAACTCTATGAGGCATGACCTCCCACAAGAAGGCCCCTCAGGTGCAGCAGCCCATGGTCATCTGTCCTCTCATCGAAATGCCCACTGTCAGCTATGCTACTTCATATGTATAATATTAAATGTTTGAAGGGAAGGGTTTGGCCCCAGCAAGATTAGGATCCCCAACAAGAACTACCACCCAATTTGACCTCCTTTTAATGCACAGTTTTCTGTGCATTTTATTTTTATGTGAAGAGTTGGGCCACAGGCAAAGATCGACTATGGATGATTGTTACAGGTGGTAAAATAGCTTTGGATTTTCTTTTTTAAATTCAGACTGTTGGAGCTCTCCCCTGGAACTGCCCTCTTCAGACCCTGCCCGAGAGAGCTCGCCAAGGGTCAGCTCCTATCCAAGATGCTCAAGGCCACACCTACTACCACCTGCCATGTGGTTCTCCCTCATGGTTTCTTCTTCTCCCCTGGGACCACCCAGGAATGCTTTGCTCAGATTAAAACCTGGACTTTAATTTGGGCTGATCTAATTTATTGCATTGGCAGAGAGACTTAATATTGGGGTACAGAAACTTATCAGAAACTATTTACCTCATTCAGCTGTAACTGTAAACCATTGACTTTATCCAAGAGTATTCTTTGCTCTTGCTGAATTTTCCTCAACCTCTCCCTCAAATCTTCATTTTCAATCTCTAGGTCCTTTAATAATAAAAAAAATAACAATAAATCAACATAACAGAGCAATGACACAGGAAGACTTTGAAAGTACATTGCTGTCACATATGGATATGTATCGAGAAGAGAAAAGTTTTAATTTTAAATGATACTTTTTTTTTTTTTGAGGGCTGAAGAGATGGTTCAACAGTTGAGTGTTTTCTGTTCTTGTAGAGGACTTGAATTAGGTTCTCAGCACCCATGTGGGGTAGACAATACCTACAACTCCAGATCCGGGAAATATGAGGTCTTCTGGTCTCCATGGGCACCCACATTCAAATGTGTGTGCGCGCGCGCACACACACACACACACACACAATAAATAAAACTTAAAAATATTTTCTTTTTTTTTTTCAAGTTTTCTGTGCATTTTATTTTGTTGGTATGCTGGGTTCCAAGCCCAGGGTTCTGTACATGCCCTGCCACAAGCCACATATCTCGCTTACAACATAATAGTTTCAACAACTCTCACATGATTGAGAAATCTAAAAACCAACAGTAATATCACTGCTATTGTAGCTGATAAGTACAAGTAAAACAAGCACATAATTGTCACTGTGATAAATGAAAACTGAAAGCCACTTATGGCTTTTGATTAAGATTAAGATTTTGATTAAGAATTCTAAAACTTATAAGGACATTCCAGTTTCTTTGCCCAAACTGATACTTACATGGTGGCTCTGATAAAACATTATAATCTCCTACATGAGGGCTCAGTTCACATGTTTTAAGTTTTTAACTTTATGTGTGTCCAGGAGCACCCCCCCCACTCCCACCTGATGAGTGCAGTTCCCCCCAGAGGCCAGAAGAAGGCACTGGGTCCCAGAGAGCTGGAGGTACAGGAGGTTGTGAGTCACTTTTCATGAGTGCTGAGAACTGAACTCAGGGTCCCTGCAAAAGCGGTATGAGGTCTTAACCATTGAGCCACCTCTCCACCTGCTCCCAAGCCCTTTTTTGGAGGTTAGCCCAGGTTAGCCTTGAACTCATGGCAATCTTTGTGCCCTGGCTGGTATTACAGGCATAAACCACCATATCCAGCTGCACTCTACTTTCTTAGTGCTGCACAACGAAGTTAAAGCCCAAATAAAATGCTCTCATTCTATCATACCATTTGGTTCAGCAGTGGTTCAATCATGGAAACTAATTAAGGTTCCTTCTCCAATATAAACCATGTAATAATTTCTCCTGATGACTTGAACAAACATGAAGTGAAACAGTATTTAGTTGAGTGGAATTATTTTTCTTAACCAAAATAAATACAACTTTAAGCTCAGGCTTTATCTCCTTGATATTAGTGACTCTTAATTTTCTAAAATGAACATAAATACACGATTTATATGATGATGATATATTAAATCATGCATATTTGTTTTCAGCATTATAGGATTTAATTATATAACATTCATAAGAAACGTCAATTCCTGAGGGACTGGTGAGAAACTGGGCAGAGAACGCAGCAAGCTTTCCTAATGCCTCACCCACCTCACCATTATCTTGTTTATTCTCTTCCCACTATACATAACATTCAAATCATTGTCCTTCTTGAATTACATTTATTTATTTCACTTAATTTATTTAATGGGTGTGGGGTGGTGGGGGAGAGAGAAAATACCAAGGCACATATGCGGAAGTCACTTGCTGAAGGTGGACCTTTTCCTTCACTACTCGGGACCCAGGGATTGAACTCAGAACACCACACTTAGCAGCAGTTCCCATATGTGTTGAGCCCTCTCATAGGCCCCACAATGCTGTTTTAAGGCAGGCAATATATGCTTGCTTTTCCCTTTTTACCTGAAAGCTGAGATGCTCCCTCTGACTTGACTTCATATTTCCTTCTTCTTGAGTGTGCGACATCAAGTTCCGCTTTGGTAAAACATTAAGAGAACACGGGTTAGAATATATGAAGTAACATAAAAGTACACTTTCTCTTAATGTAGTGGTTCTTAACTTTCCTGATGCTGCAAGCCTTTAATACCCTCATGTTGTGGTGACCCCCCAACCACAAAATTATTTTCATTCATATTTCATAACTGTAATTAATGTTGCTACTGTGTGAATTGTAATATAAATATCTGACATGCCATCCATGTGAAACATGTTCAACTCCCAGGTTAAGAACCCTGTCTTAAAGGTGGCTTTCAGGTCTTCCAATGTTACATTTCCCCATCCACACCACAAGGTGGCAGTATTTCCACTTAAACCCCTCAAATGAACACTTCAGAGGTACATGCATTAAGTAAATCAGGGTTTTAAACTTAGCTGCTAAGGATGCATATTAACTAAAGACACAAACGTTTAAAATGGAAAATAAGTAAGGCACGGGAAAAAAAAAAAGTCCTTCTGCAAATGGCTACCTACCACCCAAAGGAAGAAACTCATTTAAAAACATTGGTGGAGTGAGAGGAAATCAAGCTAAGTTTGAAAGACAGTGTGGGTTTCTTTATTTCTCTGAGCATGGCTGGAACAAAGCCTCAAGAAGCCAGTGAAGGGAGAAGGCAGACAATGGTGCAGCTAAGCTGCACAAGGAACTCCACAGAACCGTGCTGGGTACGCGCCTACTTCTGTACACTTGCAGCTTTGAAACTCTATTCCAGCTTAGAGCTCTGCTTTAACAAACCAGCACAGCGGCTGGCAAGAGGACAAATAATCTGCTCACTGTTCACCAGCATCCATCTTTAAGTAGGCACAACAGCTAATCCAGAAAAGCGATTTCTCTGTTCTTGGACTGTTTTCATTTTTTAAAGCTACTAAGTTCAATTCTCCAAGGTGTTTTTGTTTTGTTTTTTGTATTTCACATTACTGGTTTGAATTTTGGCTAATCAAACTTTAAACCATCATTTGACCATAAGTCTGGTTGGAGAATTAGAAAACAGTTCCATTACAGAGGCCTTGTAGCCATAATCTGGTCTGAACTATCTTCCCAGCTTCATTCAGCCAACGCCACCTGACATCTCTCCATTGAACCATCTCTTCCTCCTTCCCTCCCTAACCCTCAGATCATCTGCTCTCACCCTGCCAGGCTCACACAAGCTACGTGGATTCTATCCCTTAAGACTCAGGACCTTTCAGCCACCTCTGGCTCCCTGAGGCGGTACTGCACTCTGACTGGGGACTTCTAGCCTGCCTCCTGCTAGTCAGAAGTCTTCTGACAAGATACATCCAAAGTCCTGACCAGGCACCTGGCCTCTTCACACCTTATACACACCACTGCTGTCACACTGGCCCTGATTTGCACCCTCGGCATGGGCTTGGGATTTCTCAGGGAGGCCTCTCTCACAGCTCAAGCTCTTTGCATCTTTACCCCTCCTCACAGCTCTTCCTCCCAGATCTGCCACAATCTGCTGTGTCCTCCTCTGCTTACTGTGCTTCTCTGTTACTAACCAGTGAGCTCCATGAGGGCAGGGACTCAGCACACCACACCTCCCTCAGCACTTAGCATGACAACTGGCAGGCACCCTGGATGCATTCAGTCGAGCCAGTCTGCCTCTGCCAACTACATTTGGTTCTCTGGCACTAGACACACTCAACAAAGAACCTGTCCAATCGACAACTGATTCCTATAAATATATCCAACAAACTATGAAAACACAGGATTTGGAGTTCCATTTATTTTACTGTTCCCAGCAAAATACTGACTCCTTGCATTCACTTAGGTAATTCCTACACCATGGACGGAGTTTCGTTCCCATACTGATAATCAATAACACTTTATCTTAAATAGACATGCATTTGAGAACTCCACTCCAGCTTTTCTGGGAAGCAGGGAAGACTGAAAGCAGTTGCTCCAGAGAGAAACATTATCAACAGACAAGAGCCATGCATGAGTGTGTACTGCGCTCTGATGAAGTGAATGGAGGTCACACTGCAGCTGCAGCGCAGCCTTCAGATGGTGGGGGAGGTAGAGGGATGGTGCGATGAGCATGAAGATGCTAGGAAAGTACCTGGTTCCTTCCTCCTCAGAATTTGGAAGTGGCCAGAGGCCCCCCCACAAGAGCAAAGCAGGGGCCTGGAAGGGAGCCGCCAGCAGGAGAGGGTCTGCCAGCACTAGCTTTGGAGCCGGGTCTCGTGAACCAAACCCCACTCTAACTTGGAGAGATGAGAAGACTGTGTTAAGACTTTCACTCAAACTGGGACAGGAAGTGGGAGGGGGTCATGTGAGATTTGCTAAAATTAGTACCAAGTAAAGTGATTTGGGTATCATGCTATTTATTTTTAATTAAACCAGCCCTCAATTAAATGCATACAGAAAAGACACGGAAAAGAAATGAAACCTTCAATAGTGGTATTGAAATCTCAACATATAACCAGTTTTGAAGTGTTTTCAGCAGGGTGTTTTGGTACATGCCTGTTATCCAGCACTCAGGGGAGGCTGGGTCAGGAGAACAGCAAGACCAAGGACAGCCTAGGCTACATGGCTACATAGCAAGATGCTTGTCTCCAAACACAAAAACAAATCCCCGTTTTTCTTCATGTCTTAGTTCATTGAGAGACTCTTCTATAACAGTATGATCAACTCTGTTATTCATGCCAAAATCTGTTGAAGAATCTCAATAAGGATGCTTGAGGCCCCATTTAGGTCATGACATCCTACTGGAAACCTTCACTGTAATTGAAGTCCCTTGTCTCAAGTTGAGTGACACAGTATTTTTAACAGGACTTCATGCCCTGAGACTGACTCCTTGGGCACTGACCCCCTGAGGCAGACAACATGTGGTTAAACTCAAGACCCCCATGTGGAACCACTAACCAATTTTAAGGAAGACATCAGGGTAGGATAAAATTTTTTTTAAAAATTAAAATAAAGGCACACCTGTTGCAAAGGCGGTCCTTTCCTCCAAAGTTCTCTCCCTAAGGATTTAAAGAGAAAACCCATGAGACAAGGCATTAATTTAGGCAGAAGGCATCCCCCAACTGCACCACCCGGTCACTGAGGCAGAAGGCATCCCCCAACTGTACCATTGAGACAACGTCTAGTTTTCCTTTACAGCTTTCGTTTTCCTTTAAAGCCTGCTACGTTTTAGTTTATTCCCAAAACTTATGTTTAAAACAGCAGTGAAGTAGTCTGTTTTGCCTACCAAATTAGCAAAGCTTTTAAAAATGACGATATTCAGATAAGTAGAAAGTTAACTTATCAACATATGCAAAATTTAAATAAATAGGCATATCCTGTAATTTAATAATTCAAATTGTAAGGAACAATCTTTTTAAAGATTTATTTAATTTTATTTATAACTATGTGGGGTAGGGCATGTGAATACAGTGCCCAAGAGGCCATCAGATCCCCTGAAGTTGGAATTATAGGCATTTGTGAGTCCGGAACTGAATTCAGGTCATCTGGAAGAGCAGCAAATGCTCTTAACTGCTGAGCCTTCCCTCTAGCCCTCCAGGGACTGATCTAGGCGATTATAAAATATGTAAAAATATTTATATACACACTAGTAAAAAGCTAAATAACTTAAGCACCACCTATCTAAAGCTGCTTTGTTATTTAATTTAAATAAATGGAATTCTATGCATCAATAAAAATTATGCTGTAAAAATATTTATGCAGGAACAGTCTTCCAAATGCGTTATACAAGAAAGCTAAGGTCCAGTTCAGAACTCAGGCGGCCTTCATGCCACTTTACAGCTGAGAAACAGCCGGGCATTGGTGGTGCACACCTTTAGTTCCAGGACTCGGGAGGCAGATGCAGGTGAATCTCTGTGAGTTTGAGGCCAGCCTGGTCTACAGAGTGAGTTCCAGGACAGGCTCCAAAACAATACAGAGAAACTCTGTCTTGAAAAAGCAAAAAAAAAAAAAAAAAAACAAGAGACAGAGACAGACTAGAATGGGTAGAAACATTCATGGAAGCTCAGCAGCTGGGTTGTTCTATAGATTCTAGCTTTCCCCTAAGAAACAGACATGCATTTGGTACCTGCCAGATGAATATTTTAAGTATACTGATACTTTCTTTAAAAGAGCAATTTTTTTTTCTTTTTCCTTTTTTTCTAATTCTCTGACAGCCTGGGCTAGAAGGATGGCTTGGTAGTTAAGAACACTTAGCTCTTACAGAGGAACCATCTTCAGATCCCAGCATCCACACTGGTAGCCCACAACTGCCTGTAACTGCAGCTCCAAGGGATCTGACACCCTCATTAGCCTCTGTGGACAACCGCACTAATGTACATACCTCTCCCTTCCCCACCCCAGACACAGATATATACACATAATTTTAAAGAAATAAAAACCACCACCACCACCTTAGGATCTCCATGGAGCCAGTCAAGCTTACGTAAGTTCCACGGTGGCTAGGGAGGGCTACATATCTCAAAGCAAAGAAATCAAAACCTTGGTAAGTATAAAAGTTGATCACCTCCCTCCTCCTTAATAAAACATTAGCACAGGCAGTTTTTTTATGTGCCCACTCCTTCCTCTTCCTCAGCTTTAGTTAACACACAGTGGTCAGGATTAATCAGAAAATAGTGTAGCCCAACTGCCTTGAAATGGGAGCTCAGCTCCAAGCACCCACATGGCACACAACTGCTCTTGTTCTGGGGGATCTGGCGTTCTCCACTGGCCTCCACAGATAGTTACACTCACATGTACAAACCATAATTAAAAAAACTTTAAAACATTTTTAAAAATTATGTCCCTTATAGAAACCTGCTGGCACCTTTGTTGGTGTTTTCTGACGCTGTCTTCAGTAGATTCAGGATGTCCAGATTGTCACCAATTCTCGCATAGTAAGAACTGTCATGGCCAAGGGCATCCAGCAATGACACATCGGCCCCATTTTTAACCAGGACTTCTACAGCATCTCTGCAGCCGTATTCACAACCCAGCATGAGAGCTGTTCTGAAAGCAGATAGAAAATTCAAAACCTTGTGGAATTGTGGAAATTCCATGGAATATTCCAGAAGTACCCTGCTAGGAAAGTCCCCCTTTCAAAGGGCAGATCCAACCTCAAGAAATTACATTTCATATAGATTCAGGTATTACTTTATCTTTCTGTACTTTTATTCATCAAATTTCTAAAACAAAAATCTTGTTGTTTTGTGTTTAGTAGTAGCAGAGAGAAAAATGTACCCCTTTTCTGCTGGTTGTCAGCCTCGAACTCACTGTGTAGTGAGAATGATCCTGGACTCTGGATCCTGCTGCCTCCACCCCAGTGCTGGGTTTACAAGCATGCGCACCACACCTGTCCTTCCATATCTTACACATCTTAACTATGTCAACCACTAAATTAACCTAGTTTATTCCAGTTCTTCAATGCCCTAAAAATAAGTCTTCCCTTCAAAAATCTTCCCTACTATAGTTGTCACCCAATCTGCTCAAAACCCAACTGTTCAAATGCTTCTGGTGAACTAACACACGTCATACAAACTTTCCCTACAAACCCCTCTCCCAGTGGAGGGAAACAGATTCTGCTCTTGATGTCCTGTTTAAGGGCACCTTGCTGAGGACATAGCCTTGTTGCAGGGTACTTGCCCAGCTTGCACAAGGCCCTGAGTTTGAGTCCTCAGTACCTATAGGACAGGGTTGTATGTGCCTGTAATCCCAGCACCCAAGAGATCAAAAGACCAAGGTCATCCTTAGCTTCATGTCAAGTGTGAGGCTAGTCTGGGATACATGAGACCCAATCATAAGTAAGTAAGTAAACAAATAAATAAAACAGCACTGTTAGGATGAAAGACCCTTGCTTCCTCACACATAGGCCTTTCAGAAGGACACCCTCGCTAATCATGGATCTCTTTCTCCTCTGTATCCACCATCAGCACAAGAGCCTCACAGACTGTGTCTACACAGAACAGTCATGTGGCAATAGAACTAAGTTCTCAGGGACAGTCAGTAGGATCCTGGACACCATCTTATCAAATCTGTGCTTACCACTGATGGAGCTGACACATGATGAAATACTGACTGATCCACATCTAACAAAATGTCTGGTTCTGTATCTATTGAAGTCATATCTGACTCCTGCTTCAATTGTGAATACTAGATATCCTGGCCCTGTTTTTCTACACATGCTCTCTTCTATAGCCATGCTCCTTCCGTGGTTGCTATTATAAATGTCTATATGTAAGAGATTAATAGTTTTCTTAGATTAAAAACTCTATAAAGATAAAAACAAGAGGAAAAACAAGAGGAAAAACAGTGTCAAAAACTGTATTTCTAAAAACTAACAAGCTTATACAAGTACACAGCACCTTGCCTCAATTTGGGGTGAATGTGCAACAAAAGCAAAGTGCTTTTGAGTGCTATAAGAGCGATAAAAATATCAAGCATTTTAATGGGGTCAGTGTGGTCACCCTTCTCAAATCCTAAATTTAACTTTAAAACCAAATCTCCTTAGTCATTCTTGGAACCAGAGTGTAATATCTGCAGAAATGCAGAGATGCCACTTTCTTGATACACTGGTGACTGACTTCAGAATGTCCTTCTTTGAAGTATGTGAAAAGAAAGGGTCTAGAAGATGGGGGAGGGCAGGAAGCCATGGCAGAATGCGACCAACAGACAGAATATGCTTATATGGAGATGCCCTTACATAACAGAGTATCATGTGCAAGGAATATATACCATGAGAATTTTAAGAGATATTTCAAAAAGAAATATCTAAATAAGAAAAATTCAAGGGAAAAACTCTTGACACCTAAAGGAAATTTCATTATACCTCTCCACTTCTAATGAGTTACAAACAATAGGATGCATGTTTAGAAGAATAAAATTAAGCAAAAAGGCATTTGTTAATAATTACAAAAGCTCAGAAATTTTGGTTGTAAACTATTGTAACAAACTCCAATTAGAGCAAAATTTTCCAGTTATTTGTCAATAGAGACTTAGTGACCAAAAGCATCATACTTCTAGTGTAGGCAAGCATTGTGACATAACTGATCAAGAGACAATTACTAGATCATGTCAACTGAAATAGCATTAAATACAGGAGTATCAGTGAAGGGACTCTGTCCTAGTTAGCTCTGATTCACAACTGAGCCAGCCTAGAGTCATTTGAGAAAAGAAGCCTCAGTTGAGGAGTTACCCAGACCAGATGGACCTGCAGGCATATCTGTGGGGATTATTAACTAATGTAGGAGGGCCCAGTCTACCATCGGCAGCACCATCCCTAGGCAGGTGGGTTTGACCTAGTTGAGCATATGCCTGAGAGTCAGCCAGCAAGCCTTGTTTCTCCATGGTCTCTGCTTCAAGTTCCTGCTTAAGTTCCTGGCTTGGATTCCTCAATGACAGACTGTCCTGTAAACTAAAATGAAGTCATCCTTCCCTCCCACAAGGTGCTTTTGGTCAGAGAGCTCTCTCCCAGAAACTGATAGGAAACGAGAACAAATATTTAAGGGCAAAGTGGACTCAGACCTGGAGGCAATATTACTCACTGAGCCTGCTAAGGAGAAACCTCAAGGAAAACCCAAAGTGGCTCATGTCAAATCCATGGTATCCAATGACACAGACTGCAGATAATTTTAAATCATCTTTATTTGTACCCATTACATTAAAGACTTTTAGAAAGTTTTAAATAGACAGGGTAGGATTCTGACCCAAATATGTTCCCTAGGATATCCAAGGACAGAAAGTGGGGTGGGAAGACCAAGTTATGGCAACAGTGTCACAGACCTCCTGCTGCTACAAGGAGCCACCATAAAAGATTTACCTGTTTTGCTTGTCTCTGGAATTGATATCTGCCCCTCTGTCTATCAGCAATTGACAAATTGTCGGCCTACACATCTGTGTTGCCAGAACAAGAGGTGTCCGTCCATCCTAACAACAAGAAAAACAAAGAGACCTTAAAGCAATGAGTCTTCCAGAACCTGAGTGTCACAATGCAGGGGTTGAAATGGGAACAAACCAACCAACTTACTATATCTTTGGCATTCACGGAGGCTCCATGGTCGCAAAGCAGCTGGATGCTAGAAGGGCAGTCTGCCATCGCTTCAAGAAACAAAGGGACAGTGAGCATCTGCTGACACTCAGCACTTTCCTGGGCTCATGTGAGGCAACCTAAGGTCTCCCCATTTCAGGCTACCAAGCTACACATCATTCACTCTCAGCTTAGCACGACAGACACCCATTTTCTATCTTAGAATGGATCAAAGAGGATCTCTGTACAATTGTTAATTATTTATTTGCTTTGCAAACTATGTCATTCTGAATACAAATAAGAGAGGAAAAGGAGATGAATGAGAAATTAAAATGTTGTAAAAGTATCAAAAATGGAAAAGGAAGAGAAGCTGAAATTAAACTATTAAAAATAACTGGAAGGGAATAGAGATGGCTCAGTGTTTAAGAACACTTGTTCCCTGCAGTGTGACGCCTCTTCTGGCCTCCATGGGCCTGCACACATGTGACATTCACTTACACAAACACACACAAATAAAAAAATACCAACTAAATCACCTTTAAAGCTGAAAGAAATTACAAGTTATACAAAAATTCCCTATATATTGAAAAGACAAAGGCAAATGTCTTCTCTCCTTACCCTTCTTGGAGATTATAGAGTTTTAAAGCCTAGAGAAGACAACTTGTGATCCTATGTTTTCAAAATTATTTAAATTCTAACCCTAATTTTAATGACACCAGAATAACGATGAACATACCCTAGACACTGAGAATAATTCTTGAAATATGAGGTTTCTAGTTAATAACTTTTGAAAGTATTGTACAAGACATAGATAAAATCTAGTGCCAACAACCCCAATAAAAAATGGCTCAGCAATCACTTCAGAGATCAACATGCTATGGCCAATTATAACTGCTTGCACAGTTATGTATGGGCTTCCCACTTCTCCCCCAAGTACCTCTTCTCTCTCTCTCTCTCTTTATCTCTCCCTCTCCTCCTTTCCTCCTCTCTCTCTCCTCTCTCTGTCCCTCTTCCCCCCTCTCACTTCCCTCTCCCCCTTCCTCCTCTCCCTCTCCTCCTGGCCAATAGGCACCTGTAACAATCCTCCTCACACCTTTCCTATCTATCAAACTGATCAGCCTATAAATATTGGCTGAATAAATCTTCTTTTTCTTCAAGATTTTATTTTTTATTTTTACTTTACTTTTAATTGCATGTGTATGTGTGTGGGGATGGGAGAATGATGAGCACATTCATGAAGTCCCTTCCCTTTTGAGGCCAGAAGAAGACGCCAGATTCCCTGAACATTGTTGTTACACGTATTTGGAAGCTACCCAACATGGATACTGGGAAATGAACTCAGGTCCTCTGCATGAACAGCAAGCACTCAATTTCTGAATGAATCTTCTACAGCTGCAATTTGTAGATTTCAATTTTGTTTTGTTTTTGAGAGAGGGTTTCTCTGTGCAGCCTTGATTGTCCTGGAACTCTCTCTGCAGACAAGGGTGGCCTCAAACTCAGAAATCTGCCTGCCTCTGCCTCCCAAGTGCTAGGATTAGAGGTGTGCACCACCACACCCCAGCATATAAATTTTACCGCTGCCCAGCACATAAATTTTAATATTAAGCACACAAATTCTTTAGTACTTTTTCTCCACAAATTATCCAAATTCATTAATTACTTTCAAGGGTCCTATGTTTTCAGAAGCCATTGCGTCTGGGAGGGGGTCTCTGCTCACCTGCATCATGGAGGGCAGTTCTTCCCTGCAGGTCCACATGCTCAGTGGGACAGTTGTACTGTGGAGACAGAGCAAGGTGATGGCGTGGGAGGACTTTGTCTTAATATTCAAAATCCACACTTGAATGAACAGTTGTTATTTCATCTTAAAATATTCCACTTATCAAAGGAAGACGTGCAGACAATCTACTAAATATTTTGACGTGCAACAAATAAAATAATGGCACATAACTGTGAACTGAACAGTATTTTACCAAACAGGAAACATATGCCCTTATAATAATGCGGAGTATTGAAAAGATGTTATTGTTTGGGCTTTTCTCTTCCAGCTAGAGTTAATATAACTACTGAATCAGGAGAACAAATCAGTTCTAAGAGTCAACTCAGGGCTGGACACTTTGGCCAAAACCTTCATTCAGTTAAGTGGCTAGCCCAATCCAGAGGCTGCCTGATAAACACTCATGACATTATTATCATGCCATATAGTCATCTGTGTGGAGACACAGAAACACACAAACCCTATGCTATAACCCCTCTCAGTCCACATTCTGAACGACAGAAAACTCTGGTCTCCTGCTAACATCAACAGGAAGGTCAGGCCTTTGTTGTTTATTTTTAATACACTGAGTTATGTGATTCACTTCCCTCACATTTTTGTTCCTTATTGTTCACATTCCTTCCCAAAGGATGGAAAAATTACCAGTGAACAGTTAGCCTGCCACTCTGTGATCTCAAACTCTAAAGACACCAAGAACACACTCAAGCTTTACGGACTCATAATGAAGCAAGAGAGTTTCCACCACGTCTACCTGGAGAAGTTTTTGCAGGCACAGTGCGTGTCCATACTTAGCTGCCAGGTGAAGTGCATTCCTCCCTACAAACAAAAGCAAACACTTCAAGTCTGTGTGGAGGATTATTTTCTTCATACAGGAATTTTCATAGAAATATGACATTTTTCTGCCCAGTTGGTTGACAGGTTACAGTTCCTAAGACATTTTAGTAATTTAGTACATGCACTCAAAAACTATGGAGGAAGCAAGAAAAAAGAATCCTGCAAGCTCCCAAAGGGTATGAAATCCTTCCTCTTGTGTCACCTAACCTCCAGCACTGGGGGCAGTGGCTGAGACACAGTAGTACACAGTAGCACAGGGAAGGCGTGTGTGTGTGTGTGTGTGTGTGAGAGAGAGAGAGAGAGAGAGAGAGAGAGAGAGAGAGAGAGAGAGAGAGAGAGGGAGAAAGGGAGAAAGGGAGAAAGGGAGGAAAGGAAAGGGAGGGAGGGAGGTTGAAGATGTGTCAATGGTTAAGAGCATTGCCTTCAGTGTGAGAGGATGATCCTGCAAAGAACATTGGATACGCCCCCACCCCTCTCTCATTATTTGTGGGTGGAGGTACCCATGTACCACAGCAAGTGTGTAGGTGTCAGAGGACAACGATGGGAGTCAGTTCTCTCTTTTCACCATGTGGATCCATGTGGGGATCAAACTAAGCTATCTCGGTGCCCCTCCTAAGTGCATTTCTTTACACATTCATCTCCCTTAGATGGTGTAAAGCATAGGGGCTTCACCAGGCTATGCCAATGTCCAACCTGTAATGCTTTTCAGTTTTTTTCAATGTCACACGTATCTTAACATACCCTTACTTTTGCAAGCACATTGGCTAGAAAAGAGATTACATTCTGATTATCCTGGAATGACAAATATATGGGCTTTCCATCTGTATATAGTTTTATGCGAGTTTAGGTAAGCCACATGTCTGCCCAGGTCTGCTCAGCCAGAGCTTATACAAAACACAGAGCCTTGGTCTGTAAGCAGGCCTGACAGAGCGTAGTCAACTGCACCCATACATCCTCTAGTCTGTCAGACGAGACTATTTCACATTCCAGTTCACAAGCTGCAGATGTAGTTCAGAGGACTACCAAGAGGGCTCAGTGGGTAATGCCATTTGCCACTCAGCAGCTGATGGCCTGAGTTCCATCCTCAGCATCCACAGGGTAGAAGAGAGAATCAGCTCCTGCTTCTGACCCCCACATGTGTACTGGGGCGTGTGAGTGCTAACTTACACACTTACCGACACAAACAATAAATAAAAAACAAAAGTCAGTCCCAGAAAACTAACTATGGTTATCCTAATTAATCAAAATCTAATGCTCTCATTGAAGGAAAACCAACAGCTGTGTTCAAATACTTGCATGTTTCCCTTGAATGTGCAAACTCAGCACTGAGACTCAAAGAGAGACAGAGGTAAGAAAGAGACAAAAAAATAGATTCCAACTGTCTATAAACATCACATGTCATACTACCAGGCAAACCCAGGACAGGCTCCCTAGAGGTCTGTCTCTTTCAGGGCCTGGGGCAAGTTCCTGACAGCTCAGGGGCTCCCACCCTTGCTGGCTGAGGTGAGGACAAGATGAATTAACGTGGTGACTGTGTAAAGTGCTCAGTGAATGCAGAGCAGCCACCCAGATGTTACAGAAATACCGGCTGTCACTGACACTATCATCTACACTGTCGTCTCTCCAGCACAGAAGACATCAACCAAATGTCAAATGACCTCGCCACAGAGAGGATACAGCACAGGGTAGGACTCTAAAGGAAACAGCCCTGGAAAGTCTCTAAAATCGGGCCTTTTAGGACCAGCGCTAGGTGACAGGTCTATTGCCCTTCCACCCTAAAGCCCCTTTCCCATGGTGACACTCACAAGTAAATGTTCCTCAGCTCAGAAACTTGGGGCTGGAGAGATGGTGCCCATGTACTTGCTGCTCTTGCAGAGGACATGGGTTCAGTTCCCAGCACCCACATCGGGATGCTCACAGCCAGCTCTAGGGGGATCTCACACCCACTTCTGGCCTCTACAGGCACTGCAATCACATGGTGCATATACATGCAGCCAGATAGGCAATACATACATGTCCAATAAATCTAAAAGCAAATAGTAAGCAAGTAAATAAACTAAAACAGGAACTTCAGGATCTTGCTGTTTAAGTTATAGTTAAGTCTGGTTTAGAATGTGAGGAGGAGCTGGGGGTATAATTACTGTAGAATTCATGGCCAGCATATGCACAGCCCTGGGTTCAATCCATATCAAGAAAGAGAAGGAATCGAGAGGGAGGGAGGGAGGGAGGATAGTGGTAGGGAGGGAGGACAGTGGTAGGGAGGGAGGTAGTAGGGAGGGTAGGGTTAGTAATGGGCAATGCTCATACCCTCTTCATGGAGGAAGCATACCTGCACTGTCACTGGTTGCAACATCAATTCCATGTGTAAGGATGGCATTAAGACACTCCAGGTTCCCTTTGGATGCCACAACATGGAAGCTAAATTGGAGAGAACATCTGTTATGCATGGAAACTAACAAAGATGATATAAAAGTTTGTGGAGCTAGAGATGGTTCAGTGGTTAAGGGCACTGGTTGCTCTTCCAGAGGACCTGGGTTCAATTCCTAGGCTCTATATGGCAACTCAAACTATCTGTAATTATAGTCCCAGGGGATCCAATACCCTCTTCTGGCCTCCTTGGGTACCAGGCATACATTGTGGTACACAGACATACATGCAAACAAAACACCCATGCACATTAAAAAAAATGTTCTACCAACATCATTTTTAATTTAATATACATATGTGCATACTCAAGTACGTGTGTACACACATGCACACACACACACACACATACACACTGTTACAAAGACTTTGCTCTATTAAATCATTTTTATAGATAGAATGTTTTTAGTTACCAAATTTGAAATGCTTAAAAATTTGGTTCATAAAACAAGCTAAGTCATTCTAGAAATACCTCCTGAGCATGAAATATTTTAATATTCACAGCTTTAACAAAAGAAAATGTTATTTATGTAATATCATTAACCCTGTAATTTATTATTTCTATCAAAACCCCTGGTGCTTGGAATTGAATAAAGCACACCAGAACTTTTCCTTTTGCCTTTTCTTGGCATGTACTGTGGTGTGCATTTCCATGTGTGCCCAAGGCTGACTTTGGGAGTCTCTCTTGATCAGGTTCTGATGGGGGCTGTGTCCTGAGAATATATGTTTCTCTTATTGGTTGATGAATAGAGCTGTTTTGACCAATGGACAGGCAAGATTTAGCCAGGTGGGAAATCCAAACAGGGATAGAGAAAGGTATTAGGTAGAGTCAGGGAGGCATCATGTAGCTGTCAAGGAACCAAGAGGTCTTGGCATCACCAGTAAGCCAAGACCATGTGGAGATACACAGACTAATAAAAATGTGTTAATCATTGAGAGAGAGCTAGCCAATAAAAAGCCTGAGCCATCAGCCAGTTTATAATTAATTATAAGCCCTTATGTGTTTATTTGGGACTAAATGGCTCTGGCACCAGGCAGGATAGAAACTTCAGTCTACAAGGCTCTGCCTTACTCACTGAGGCAGGGTCTTTCATTTGAGCCCAGGATTTGCTGAGAAGGCTGGTCCGACCAGCCAACCTGCCCAGGGACCACCTGTCTCCACTTTCTCAGCCAAAGCTCAGGAAATGACAGGCAGGCTGCCACACACACCCAGCGTTTCCATGAGCCCAGGGATGAGAATTCTGGTCTTCATGTTTGGGTGGCAAGCATTCATTTACTACGCAATTTTCCCCGCACCCACACTGAAACATTTTTATGAGGTTATTTTGTTGGACTTAACTGCGCAAGAAATAAAGTCACAGAAAAGGTTTAAGACCAAAGCAGAACACAAGATTCTCTCTCTCCAGAATTATCAGCCTAACCCACACTTTCTCCCTCCAACAGTGACTAATGTAAACACTGAATTCCACCCAGTGACTGAAGCTTCACATCAGCAGGCCTCATTGATCAAGCTCCCTAAAAAGGCAAGTCAAGCTTGTTAAGATGCTAACTTTGGGGCTAGAGAGAGGGCTCAGCAGCTAAGAGGGCTTGCCGGCATCCATTCTTTTGGGCTCCTGGCCTCCCATTTGCATGCGTGTATGTGTACATACACGGACACACATAAAGTCTTTTGTTAAAAAGACAAGCTAACTCTAATCATTTAAGTACTTAAGACACCAGCTAACAAAATGCCCCATTCTTTCTTTCCTCATCTAGCATTTGACTAACTGACTAGAATTCATTCAAATTCGAACAGGTGAGTAGACTGGATGTTTGGGGGAAAGGACATGAGTGGAAACTGACATAGGAAGGAGGTCCTGACTGGCAGGAGGAGGAAGTCAGAGTGTAATGTAAGCCCACAGGTGGGCTCACTCTCATCAGGAGGCCCCTCCCCGGCCATTGCAGAGGAGTTCATGCTCCCCACTCTGAAGCCTTCGCTCTCCTGGTACCCATGGCTGTCTTCACTATTCTCTATAGAATGAACACTTCATCCCACTTAAGTCCAATAATGATTCTCTCTGTGGCCTGTGGTTCTCTCCTCACTCAACTGCAAACTCAATAAAAGCAAAGTTGATCATGTTTTACTTTGTTGTATCCCCAGACACAAGTGCCAGAAGTTAGGCTCTCAAATGTCTGTTAAGGAAAAAGCTGAGAGACAAAATCTGGAGTAGCTTGAAACTCACTTCCAGATAGTAGGTCATCATCGTGTTACTCTAGTAATACCATGGCAGGTGAGATGCAAACTAGAGACCAAGCTTTCCTAAGGACAGCAGGGCTACATTCAGTTTAGACAGAGAAGAGATGTTAAGAAACAAATTTGTTTTCCATTTTAACGGAACAAACACATTTGGGTCATGGGCATCGTTCACTCTCCCTGAGAGATGGAAGCAGTCAATTAGACTGAAACACACTTCAGAGGCGGCAGGGCCTCCTGCATACTAAGGTCCTTAGCCCCTGAGGATACCCTTAGGAAACACCAGTGTGGGTGGGATCCTTTGTTTTCACTCCTCAGCTCACAAGCTTTGCAAGACCATGGTCTTCAAAACAGCCAACACAGCACAGACAGTGCAAGAGAGGCCAGGAGTCCCTGCTAATCCACAAGTGCTGCTGAACTATAAATAGCAGGCATGCTTAAAGAAGAAGACATGTCAATCACAGAAACATATGCACAGAGCTGTACATGAAGTATGAGAAAGCGCTTTACAGAAATACTCCTTTGCAAATAAGAAAACCTCTTCTTTTTACGTATATGTAGTGTGTGTGTGTCTGTACATCTGTATGGATATGTCTGTACATGTATATCTGTATGTGTGTGTATGTGTGTATATCTGTATATAAGTGTGTGTGTGCCTGTGTATATATCTGTATGTGTATATCTATATGTGTTCATGTGTGTATGTCTGTGTGTGTTTGCCCATGTGCTTGAGGGTATCTGGAGGCCAGAAGAGAATGCTGGGTCCCCGGGAGTTGGAGTTACAGGAGGTTGTGTGCTATCTGACATGGATATTCTTTATTTTTTGGTTTTTGGTTTTCTTGTTTTGTTTTCTGAGACAGGGTTTCTCTGTGTAACAAACAGCTCTGGCTGTCCTGAACTCACTCCATAGACCAGACTGGCCTCAAACTCACAGAGATCCACCTGCCCCTGCCTCCTAAGTGCTGTGATTAAAAGTATGCACCACCACTGTTAAGTGAATTGACATTCTTGTCTACTGAACGTGGCATCTACCACCATCACCGCATCTCTAGTTCTTTTTTGGAACCACAGTGAATTCAAGTACTTGTTGCTCTTTTTTTTTTTTCCTTAGCAAAATTTCAAAACCTTGGGACTAGAGAGATGGCTTTTTAATTATGAATACCGGTTGCTCCTGTAGAAGACTCAGCTTACTTCTCAGCACACACGGTGGCTAACAACTGTCTATACCTCCAATTTCAGGGAATCCAATGACTTTTCTACCTCTGTGGGCTCCTGCATCCCTGTGGTGCACATACACACACACACACACACACACACACACACACGCAGGTACATACACACATGAATATACTCATAAAAATAAATATTTTCAAAAGTAAAAACTAAAATCAAAAAATTTTCAAAATAAAACTGTCTTTTACAATTTCAAAGTTGAAAATAACGTATTTCAAATTAAAATTGTTTTGCCACTAGATAATATAAAACATACATCTGTAACACACACTAAATATAAAATATTTTCGTTAAGAAAGAATACGTAGTTCACACATATTAATAAAAAAAAATTTCGCCCTGTGAGTACCATGAAGGCTCCTTCCTACAAAGACCTGGAAGACTGACAGGACTCAAGGTTTCCCAGGTGCCACTGATTCTATATGGCTGTGTCAGTACAGATAACCTCAGAGAGAGCCCAGCAGACTCTCAAGCAACCATTTCAAATACTGCAAGGAATATGGTAGCTCTACCGGCTTCACCTATTAACATCTTAGCACTGGTGAAAGGCGAGACTAGAAAGACACTGCTTGTAGAGATTACATTTTACAATCTGTACCATGAGCCACATCAAACAGCATAAAATTAAAAAAAAAATAGGAAAAGAACTAAAAATAACAATAACTTATTCCCTGTAGTTAAAGTTTGTGGTGGCACACACCTTTAATCCCAACACTCAAGAGGCTGAGACAGCAGGTCTCCATGAGTTCAAGGCTAGCCTGGTCTACATTTTGGTGAAGCCAGCTAAAGCTACATGGACAGACCCTGTCTCAGTGAAAACAAGCAAGCAAACAAACAAAAACCAGAATCCTGCTGGATAAAACTGACTATGAACGCTTTATTGCTGCTAAAACCTTCTGAATTTGCAGTCACACTTTGCTCTACTGAAATATTATACATTCCAAAGTCATAATCTACATCAAACATTAATGATTAACTTCCTAATATTCACGTCTATATTTAGCATCAGCTTCCAATTATAAGTTTTTGAAAGAAAAGAAAATCTCCCGAAAGGCTAAGACAGGATTTTAGGAAATGGGACTTTTCACCTGTGCTGCTGGAAGGGCTCCCAGCTAAGGCTGCAGAGGCTTTAATTAGAGTCTTAACAGAGTCAGGATCTACCCTTTAACCCAGCTGCTTCTGCTCCTCAACCAGAGGGAAATGCTGCAGGTCTGGGTGGGTGGGGGAGACATTTGCTTAGAGCCACACAGCATGCTGGGAGTCAGTTCACAAACATGCAGCGGGTGGGCTCTCCCAGCGTGTCTACCCAAGGCACACCACGTATTGCAGATATCCTCGCTGCTCCACTCAGTCTTGTTGAAACTAATGATCTAAATTAAAAACTCAGATTGAGGCTTGGGAGAAAGGGCAGTGTCCTTTACAGAATTTGTGAAAGGCAGAAAGTTGGGGTCCTCCTCCCAGCTGGGGAACTCCAGAGGTCAGAACAAGCTACTTTAAACTGCTTCTTCTACTTGGCTCCTTAAAGACACAGCAGCATTTGGATCCCAAGGCTCACCCAGGCCTTAGTGACAGGGCAATACTCACGCCGATCTCCCTTCCACATCTAGCTTGCCTGGATGGACACCCTTTTTGGCAAGGATGGAAGACACTTTCTCCACATCCCCCCTTTCAGCAGCCTTCATCAATCGGTCATCATATTTATTCCACTCTGCTGAATGCTACAAGAAAAAAAGGAGACAAAGGAAACATAACATACTATATTAGTAGCTCTCTCAAAGAAGGAAGGGAAGAAAGGGGGAGAAGGCCCTGAAGAGTGTTGTTCTATTTCAAGCTCTATACCAAACTTCTGTGTTTTACCAGAATAGCAGATTATTTATTTATTTATTTATTTATTTATTTATTTACTTGTTTACTTACTAATTTATTGGAGACAGGGTTTCCTCTATGTAACCCTGGCTGGCCTAGAACTTACTATGTAGACCAGGCTGGCCTTGAACTCACAGGGATCCACCTGCTTCTGCCTTCTTCTTGCTGGGATTAAAGGTATATAAAACCTTCCTGAACACATGAGTTGTGAGAAGTCTATTTACCTTAAACTTAGGAGAAAAAGTATGTTTTGAGTGTTCAATATCCTGTTAACTGTCTTTGGGGCAAAGAAAACAAACAGTTACTGAATACCTGCCTCAAGCCACCCAGAGGGTGACAATTATGAGATCCTTGTAACAGAAGAGAGGAGTCCCACTCCCAGCATTAGATGACTTGAGTCGTGTAGCCAGACCTTGGCTCTGACTGCTCCCTGTCCCCCTAGGGCTCAACTTTCCCCAGCTACTCCTAGTTATCATCTCCCAGCACCCTTATGTGCAGTGGAATGTTGTGTGCACTGTAAAACACTATACTGTCTCCTATTTCAATGGCATTGTGAGAATATAACTATGTACATACAATATTCAATAGAATAAGGAATGAATGCCTACACATTAGGATAAAAAAATTCTTTATGCAAAAAAAAAAAAAAAAAAAAAAAAAAACTACAGAAGAAAGACTCTAAAGCCATTGCTTTAAACAGACAGGCTCTCCCTATAGAGTCCATGTTAGCCTCAAACTGAGGCCATCCTCCTGTCTCAGTCTACCAAAGCACATACCACCATTGCCAGCAGGTTTTTGTATTGTTTCAAAAACCCAGCACACATATAATTAAAGGAAAGATGAAGGTGATTTCAAACCCAGGAGGAAGTAGCATACAATATATATTTCAATCACATAAAGACTATATCAGCTTTGAGCAGAGAGCGTACTGTGAGGTCAGTAACTTGAATCTCTTCTTAGTACATAGATGTGCCAGAACAAGGAATGAAAATATAAACACCTGGGGCTAGAGTGATGGCTCAGCAGTTAAGAACACTGGCTGCTCTTCCAGAGGACCCAGGTTCAATACCCAGCAACTACATTGTGGCTCACAACTGTTCAGTTCCAGAGGATGTGACGACCACCCCCCCCCCACACACACACACAGACACACATCTAGACAAAACACCAATGCACATAAAATAAAAATAAATTATTTTTAAAGAAAATATAAGCATCTATGCTTACACATATGTGAACATCTAGTGTAGGTATGGTATAACATTTACAAAGGAGGACCAAGAAAGAGTTAATATTGTGTGACAAGATAAGTGTTTTTAAGCACAAAAGATTTAACCTTTAAAATATCACATTGAGGCTCGAGAGATGGCTCAGAGACTAAAGGTCCTTGCCACCAAGTCTGATAACCTGAGTTTGATCCCTACATCTACATGGTAAAGGGGAAGACTGACATCCATAAGTTGTCCTCTGGGGCACAAGAGCTATGTAAGACATGTGCACACTCTCATGCATGCACACATAAAGCTTTTTTAAAAATGTAATAAAATATTATGTTAACTTACTGCTAAATTTCATGCTAAATCAGTGTTATTTCTGTAACTCTACAAGACCTACGCATTTTCACATAATTGGCAAAGTCAGTCAACCCTCTGCCCACAATGTTTAACAAGGAAAAAAAAAATCACTAACTTCCTAAACTTCTATCGTAAATCTACCAATTGACTCATGAAGTACTTGAAAGAAAAAATGAAATATCTGACTGTGAAGACAGATGTAAAACTTCAATTTCTGACTCACTCTTGAGATTTAGTTTAACGGACCCTGGTTTCAGCACCTACAGACTTCAGAAATGATGTACTGAGGTTGATCAGCCCATCTCCTCTAACTTCAAAAGTCCAAACATGTGACTGAAGCCTACCTCCTGATGTAAAACCTAAACTACAGCTTAGGCATCACTTCTCTCTCTGCAGACAGAGCAAAACAATCTAGCGCTTGGTTAGGAGAGCAGCAGCGAATTCAGACAGAAGAGACACTGGGCTGTCAAATGTCCAAAGGATTAGGTCATGCTTACCACACAAATACCTGCCCTAAACTGATTAGTTTATCTTTAGACTTAAAATGGCCCTGATCCCCAAGGAAACTTGCTGGGTAGAAAAACGCACTGCATAGCCCACAGACCATTGCAAACTCCAAAGGAAGGCTTTCACAAAAGGAAGAAGAAAGATAATTCAATGTGATTAAAGTCTCATGCCAGTGAGTAATTTTAAGCCCAACTTCCTCAAGCACCATTTCAGTCTGGCTCAATGTCAGTTAACAGTTCCACTGCCCAGATACTAACATTCTGTCCTGTCCTTTTAAAGCCCGAAAAGCAAAAGCTTTGTCAGCTGCTGTAGATACTGTGGAAAAGCAGAAAGAAAAATCATCAGCACAGAGACTGGCTGTGCTGCCAATAAGACAGGACACACGGGAAGCCTGTGGGCACATCTCTGTTCCACAAGATACCTACTGTGTGCTTAGGAGCGCAAGAGAGCCAACAGTTCATCATAGCCAGGCTTCCGGTTCGTGTTGCATTAAGTTACAAATCTCTGCAGACTCCTTGCAAGGGACCTGGCTCCTCACATGCTGGGCTGCACGTAGCTTGAATCTGCAGATTTACTTTCTTCATCTTCCGGATCCTTCTCCGCCTTCCTAAGGCTGAAAAACGGCTCCCCTTGCTGCCAGGCACTGGATGCAGAGCTGCCCAGAGTCAGGTACGTAACTCCTCCTCTTTCTTCCTTTCTTGTGAGCTGGCTTTCAGAGCCGTCCCCTTTCAGGGACCCCATTGGGAGAAACCCCACATCCTGCTTCATCCACCCAGCAGCCCAGATGCCACTGTACATGAGAATGGCTGCCTCCGAAGTGACCGGTAAACAGTGTGTGGCCTGGAACCATTAGCACAGTTCTATTTTAGATTCCATAGGACCTGACAGCTGGGTGATAGAAAGGGGCCAGGAACTTGTTGTCAATGCATGCCTTCCCTCTGAGTAATCAAACCCAAGTCTCCTGGGGAAATGACTCAAGCACATTGTGAAACGTGCTGACCACGTCAGTACAAATTAGTGCAAGTGTGTGCCGATGTGACCAGGAGGTGCACAGACAAATCTGGTTATTCAACAAAAAGAAAAACAGTATTTAAAGCTGGTTTCAATCTCAGGGTCATCTGTCATGGAGTTTCACTAGCCTAGACAAACAGGATACACAATCCTATTTAAAGCAAATATGTCATGCTTTCATTTAAGGAAACACACACACACGCACACACACACACACACACACACACTCTCACAATCACCCCACTTTGAATTTTAGGACCCCTGGCAGGCCTGTTCTGCATACAACCAGGTTTCAGTTTACAGTCTGCCAGTCTGTCTCCTCACATGTCACACAAGAAGGGACAAGGGCACTACCAAGACAGTATCATGGAGAAGACTGTGCCACAAATTTTAATTTAAAAATTTAAATTTAACTCAGTGCTCTGCATTTCCAAGCTAAGTGCCCTGCCTGTTAGCCTGAGTACATACTACATCAGTGGAAAGACGAATGATCTCGATTCGTGGATAAAAGCAAATCACAGTGAAATAAACTGATTAAGACTGAAGGAAGCAAACCTATCCCCCAAACCAAGCTTCATTGTAAAAAGCACAGCTATGTGGGGAGTATGGAGAGAGAAAGGCAACAATCCCTCTGTACTCATACTCCCTACAATACCAAGGTTTTCCACATTGCTTTTGGTATGTGTGTGTATGTGCATGCGTGCCTGTGTGCGTGCATGTGTGTATGCGTGCATCTGTGTGTGTGTGTGCTCATGCATGCATGAGAATAATTTATATATTTGCTAAAAAGACTTACTCAGGAAAACTGCTTGGTGGGAATGTGATACATTCCAAGCAAGGCTTAGAGGAAGGAGGTGACTGTTCCACCATAGATCAAGCTGCCTATTGAAAACGCTGCATGAACTCCAACAAGGAACTGGTTCCCTCCAGTTGCAATGTAAACCGTGAGGCCCATATTCTAATTATAAAGCATATATGGTCACACACCCTGATGAATTGTTTTGAAAACAATGAGGTGCTTTCCTCCCAGACCACATGAGATACCAAGGGATCACATGACCTCAGAGAACTCCATCCAGCCTAGTCATTCTTCTTCTGGGGTAACAAATCAAGCACTTTTTCTTGTTCCCCTAGAAATAGGCCAACAAAGGCAGAAAAAATAAATAAATAAAAGAAGAGGGGAGGCTAGACAGACTCTCCGAAGTCACATGAGGAACTCTCAGCTCAGGAGATGGCTTGTGCCTTCATGCAGATGGCTGCACCAGAAGCCACCATCCCAGCCCTAATTCATACCCTCTCCACAGAGGCTCCCTAAGAACCAGAGTCCTGGCTCTGCTGCCTCTGGATCTGGTAGGATATTCCCTAGCTTCCACTTGGATGACTCTCAAAGTGTCATGTCCCCAGAGGCCTCACAGACCCCTCTACCTGAGCATGCTCCCATCACTCCACCCCATTCCTCTATCTGGTTCTGAGGGACCCTTCTTCACACTGCGGCTAGACATGTCTGCCTTTATACTTTACATCCACCACCCCCCACCCCACCCCATGACCCCTACTACACAGCAGAGTCTTTGTTCTCTGTCTTGAAGTCACGAAACTGACTTTTAAACAAGTAATCTGGTAGCCGCTGGGTAGGAAGAATTTCAGTCCCCGAGTCTGCTCTCTCCCACACTCCCCATTAACTAGGGGGGAAGCTGTGGGTGTCAGGGCTAGTAGCACTGTCAGCAGTAGTTTAAGGAGCTTCAGGGCTGGACCAACCTCCCCTCAGAGCTCAGCTTGCAACCCCCTGCTGTATGCACCAATGGAGCACTTTATACCCAGTTAGTAGGGCACTGAGTGTCTAACTCGGAGCTCCTTGCACAACAGGCAGACATTCTCCCAAAGGAGCCCTTAAGATTATCCTTAGAAAGGAATTGGGGACAGAAAAGAAACTTTCTTTTCAGTCTTTACTCAGTGTCTCTGGGCCAGGAGCCTTCTTGACTGCTGATATCACACAAAGGTGACTACATCATCTAGTGGCCGAGCATACCACCACCACCTTTGAAGAGGTCTAAGCAAAAACATAAAAACAAAAATCTTTGGATCTAATAATTTACAAGAAACATAATGGGAAAGAGGAATATAATAAACCATAGATGTATTGCATGATGTGCAGAAATAAAAATTAAAAAAAGAAAAATTTAGCACAGAGAAAATTATGGTTTCTTAAAAACAAAAACAAAAACAAAACAAAACAAAACAAACAAAAAACCCAGCAAGAATGGGCTGGAGAGATGGCTCAGTGGTTAATAGCACTTGCTGCTCTTACAGAGGACCGTGTTCAATTCCCAGCACCCACACGGCAGCATGGCAGCTCACAATTGTAGCTCCTTAGGAATCTGAACCCTCTTCTGGCTTCCATGGACACTATATACAAATACATATGTGCAGGCAAAACTTCATACACATAAAATAAAATCTACAAAAAAAAAAAAAAAAAAAACCAGCAAGAAAGAAAAATGGAAGCGGATAGATTAAAAGGGACAAGGGACTTTTAACAGCCAAACACACAAGCAGTGAACATCAGTGCCTGAGCAAACAGATTCTTTTAGGAGCGTGACTACTGACTGGATACTTAAGAGCATTAAGCAAGTATTTAAAAAAAAAATGGAAGGTGCAGGCATGATAATGTTTGTGTATAATTTTCAAGCCCTATTTTTAAAAAACTACATATTATATCGTGTTCTGATACAATCATATGTTTATTACATGCTTTGAACATAATCAAAATAATCAGCGCATATCAAATTCAAAAGGACATATGAAAAAAAATGAAATACTGACAGAACCCATCTGTAGAACTCCAGGAGGGATCATGATATGAAAATCAATCAACATCATACACCAAGAGACCTGGGCAGAGGACAACTGATGCAGAAATACTATTTGGTAAGCTTTGACAGCCTTCCATGACTACAGAGACAATTGGGCTGACAAAATGGCTCAGCAGAGAAACATCTGAGTCCAATCCCAGAACCCACGTGACAGAGGAGAGACCAGATCTCTGTAAGTTGTCATCTGACCTCCACATGTGAACTGTGGCATGCACACACATGCATACAAAATAAAAATACAACAAAAGATTTGAAAATACATTTATCTTCCACATCTTGCCCTTTATGAGTAGATAATTATCCTGCCTTTTCACTGGACTGACTGCTTCTTGGGCTGGGTGGAAGTGTTCACACTGGAGGTAACTCTGGGGTAGTTTTTGCTTTGGTGTCCTATGTAAGAATTCCACCATGGCGACTGCTTCTCCTGTGTTTCTTCTGATTTTACAGTAATAAGGCCTCAGTCTAGGTCTGTAAGCATGTGAAGGCAGCTGGCTTTAACTGGATGTAATAGAAGAGGCTAACTTCATTCTTTTGTGGGTAGATAACCAGTTTTCTCAGCAATGATTGTTAAGATGTGATCTTATACTCATTAAAGTAACTACTATCAAAAAAAAAGAAAAATTAGATGTTAGAGAGCATAAGCCTCTACCCTTGGGCATCCATTCCAAAGAATCCCCATGCCCTCTGCAACATTCCTCCCAACAGCAGAGAGCAGAAGCAACCCAGATAATACTTGATGAATAAACAATGGAATAGTATGCAGTTCTTAATAATGAAGGCAATCATATCCCATGGGAACCCTGTGCTAAGTAAAATAAGTTAACCTCCTCCTTCTATTTCTGTCTCCCCCTCCCCCGACTCCTTCTCTCTCTCTCTCTCTCTCTCTCTCTCTCTCTCTCTCTCACACACACACACACACACACACACACACACACACACACACACACACACTGTATAATGTCACCTTCATAGGAATCTCAAGTAGTTAAATTCATAGAAACAACCAAAAATACAGAATGGGCGTTGTCGCTGACAGTGCCTGAAAAGGTGGAATTCCAGGCTGGAGAAGTGGCTCAGTGCTCAAAGAGCTGCTCTTCCAGTGGTCTTGAGTTCTATTCCCAGCAACCACACTATAGATGGCTCACAGCCATCTATAGTGGGATCGGATGCCCTCTTCTGGCATAAAATTGTACATGCAGATAGAGCACTCATAAAATAAGTAAATAAATCAAGAAAAGGAAAGAAAAGGGGAGTCCCCATTTCAGTCCTGTAGGCTGAAGAAGTTCTATAGATCAGCTCCTGGATGCTGTGAACACAATCACTCAACCCTACACTCAACAATGCCATGATTCTGTGCTACAGTTTATAGTGGATTGATTTCATATTAGCTAGGATTTTCAGCCCAGCAAAAATTTCCAAAATAAATGTGCTATCTTATGATACCATTAAAACAATTAACAGAAACTTACAGCTTTTTAAAACACCAAGGCAGGTGAGGGTGGCCGTCACCTGATAGTAACTATTAAAGCTTCGTGCAGGTTCTCTGGCAGGGTTGGGTGGGGGTGTGGGGGGTTGGCGGGGTGAGGGGATGCTGCTGAGTCAGCTGTTCCACCTTTCCACCTCTGACATTCCTGCTCACACATGGTTCAGCCCACCTGATGGAGAACTTTTTTTTCCTTTCTTTTCTTTTTTTCTTTTTTTTTTGGATGGAGAACATCTTAAATTGCATGACCCGGGTTATCAGGTAGGCCCTCTACTGCATCACCACCAGCAGAAGCAACAGCCCACCTTCCCCCTGCAGTCCTTTATGAACCACCTGCTATGAACACCTGAGTATCTTGCTTGGCAAGTAGCATTCAGACCCTTAACGCAAGCCATGCAGGAGCAAATACAAGCCTTCTTGTGCTGACTAGTTTTAGGTCAGCTTGACACAAAATAGAGTCATTTTGGAGCAAGTAACATCAACTGAGAAAATGCCCCACCAG